TTGTGGATGAATATACAAGATACACTTGGGTATTTCCAATGTGCAATAAATTTGATATGTTTGCTATTTTTGTCAAATTCTATCAATATATACTGAATCAATTTGGGATATTCATAAAGTGCTTAGAAACTGATGGTGGAGGAGAATATGTCAGTAAAGTGGTTAAAGAATTTCTTGCTGCTAAAGGAATTGTACAAATTTTGTCATGTCCTTACACTCCTCAACAAAATGGAATTGCTGAGAGGAAGCATAAACATATTGTTGAAACTACTATCACTTTGTTAACTGAAGCTCGTTTATCTTTGGATTTCTGGTACTTTGCATGTGCCCATTTTGTGTTTCTCATTAATCGAATGCCTTGTAAGTCTTTGATGATGTCTTCTCCATATAGTGTGTTGTATAAGAAACATCCTGAATTGAAAACAATGAAGATTTTTGGCATTGCAATCTATCCTTGGTTAAGGTCATATAATGCAAACAAGTTGCAGCCTAGATCTTTGTTATATGTATTTCTGGAATATTATTTGGGATATAAAGGTGTTATTTGTTATGAATTGAAGTCTAAGAGATACATTATGTTTAGACATGTCATTCATGATGAATCTATGTTCCCATATAAACACAAATTGCAATCACAATTCCCAGATATAACAGGATCTTCTACTAGTTCTTCAATGGTGGTACCTATACCTGTTTCGTTTACTCAGACTACAAATGGAAGTGGTTCTGGAGTACAAGAACATACAGATGCTTCCTTGTTTTCTCCATCTCATGTTAATGTTATCTCTTCACAATCCACTTCCATTCATTTTGGGAATTCAAGTTTTACAACACATCTTGCTAATTCTGGTTCTATTGTGCAGTCTAGTAACAATGGAATTTCTTTACATCAGGAATCTGACAATTTAGTCTCAATACGTCCTACTCTTTCCACTTCAACAATACAACTCATTTCCTTTAGGATAAATTACATAGTAACCCCTCAGGTTTGAGGTCTATTACAACCTCATACAATAACTTTAAAAAATTTCACTTTCATACATCCAATATCATTTTATTTCAAAATAACACCTCCATTAGATTTTTCATCCATTAGTCTGTTAAATGCTGACGTGGCTGCCACATTTGTGCTGATGTGGCTGCCAAGTGGAAAAAATAATAATTTTTTAATTTAAAAAAAAAACCTAAATCTTCTAAATATTAAAATTAATAAAAAAATTAAAAAAAAAAAATGAAACCTTCCCTCATCCTCCTCTCTTCCCCCCACAACCCCACATCCCACCCCCACCCCCACCCCCTCACCTCTCTGCAACCCACATGAAAACCCACACCCCACCTTTACCCCCTCACCTCCCCGCAACCCAGATCCCCTTCTTTGTACGACCTACCTGAAAACCCACACGACCTACTACCTCCCCCCCCCCGCGACGACCCACATCAGATCGAGGTCCCCATCCAAACAACAATCCCGACCCTAACCCTAAACTCAAATCGAGGTCCAAACCCTCCATACCCACATTGCAATTCGACTCAATAATCCCAAAACTACGATCCTCGTCGTCAATATCTTTATAAACCAAAAGAGATTGAGGATGAGGGGTTGGGTCGGAATGGGCTCAACGTTCTGGTCGTCTCCGTGGCGGTGAATTTGGGTCCTGCGCTGCATCGCGGCCTGTACTGCATAGCTCTCTCTCTGATCCCTCTGCTCCCTCTGCTCCTCATGGAGGTCCTTCGTCACCACCTGATCTCGCCGTCGACCGGGATTTCTCATCGTCGCCCTGCTGCTCCTGCTCGTTGTCGTCTTCGACGATGATGATGATGCGGGTGAGGATGTCGTCCTTGTAGTTCGGGGGGGATATGGGTTTCGCACCGGAGGGGTGGTAATGGGATATGGGTTAGGTTTCGTGCCGGGGGGGGGGCGTGGTAATAGGATCTGGGTTGGGGGGGTGGTCGTATGGGGTATGGGTTTCGCGGGGATATGGGATCTGAGTTGTTCTCTGGTGCAGGTATGGGGTGTGGGAAGATGGGAGCAGGGAAGAAGAAGGCTGAGGAGGGTTCACGGGGGTGGGTTTTGTTCAGCTTCTGGGTTTTTATTTTTTTTTAATTTAGAAGATTTAGGTTTTTTTTTTAAAATTAAAAAATTATTATTTTTGCCACATGGCACACATTTGGCAGCCACATCAGCACAAATGTGGCAGCCACGTTAGCATTTAACAGATTAATGGACGGAAAATCTAACGGATGTATTATTTTGAAATAAAATGGTACATGATGTATGAAAGTGAAATGTTTTAAAAACGTTGTATGAGATTGTAATAGACCTCAAACCTGAGAGGCTACTATGTAATTTACCCTTTCCTTTATGTCTTAGATCCTGCATAGTTACAAGTAATATTACCTTTCTCAATCACATAATACAACTGTTCTAGTTTCTTCTGTTTCAGCTAATAGATATGGTGGAATACAAACATGACTTCAAATTGGAGCTATTACTAGGAATGACTATACTGCCTATCTTGGTACCTTACTTGAGTTATATTCTTTACAATTAGTTGATGATTTCACTGGTGGTTTTTCCTTTATTGATGATGTGTCTGATATTGAAGAACCTAAGAGTTTTAAAACTGCTAGTAGTATGCACTAGTGGCAAGTTGCTATGCAAGATGAGTTTGATGCTTTGAAAATGCAAGAGACTTGGTGTTTATTTCATCTTCCTCCAAATAGGACATTGATTGGTAGTAAATGGGTTTACAAGATTAAAAAGAATTCATATGGGTCAATCTCGAAGTATAAAGCTAGGTTAGTAGCTCAAGGTTATAGTCAACAACCTAGTTTGGATTTTTCTGAGACCTTTAGTCCAATGGTTAGGCATACTACAGTTTGGATGATTCTTGCTATTGCAGCTCAGTGTGGTTGGATATTAAGGCAGCTTGATGTCAAGAATGCATTTTTGCATGGTGATTTGGCATAAAAGGTGTATATGAAACAACCACAAGGTTTTGTTAATGCTACACATCCTAATCATGTATGTAAATTGGTTATGTCTCTTTATGGCTTAAAACAGGCACTAAGAGCCTGGAATTCGAAATTTACCAGTTAGCTACCTTCCCTTGTATTCAAAACCTCATTATCAGATACCAGTTTGTTTGTCAATTCAGATGATGGTGATGTGATCATTCTGTCATTGTATTTTGATGACATTATATTGACTGGTTCATCTATATCAAAGATTCAAGCTATTATGAATACTCTTGCTGAGCTTTTTGAACTCAAAGACATGGGTAAACTTACCTATTTCTTAGTTCTCCATATTCAATACCAACAAGATGGTTCTCTGTTCATTAGTCAATCTAAATATGCTAAAGAGCTGTTGGTTACAGCAGGAATGGAGCATTGTAATCCTACTTCAACACCATCTAAACCATATACTCAACTTTTTGTTGCAGAAAGAACACCATTTTGTACACACCGCCCGTCACACTATGGGAGCTGGCCATAAGTCTAGTAGCTGCTTTACAATATTTGACATTTACTTGTCCAGATATTGCTCATTCAGTCAATATGGTATGCCAATTTATGACAAATCCTACTGATTTACATTTTCACTTAGTAAAGCGAATACTGAGATACTTGAAGGGGACTCTAAATTATGGTAAGAGGTATACAAAAAATGAAGATATATCTATTAATGGTTTCTCAGATTCTGATTGGGCGGCTGATATTAACACAAAGAGGTCTATTACAGGCTATGTGGTGTTTTTAGAGACAAATCTAACATCGTGGCAATCTAAGAAATAGTCTACTGTGTCCAGAAGCTCCATTGAAGCAGAATATAAAGCCTTAGCTCATTGTGCAGCTGATGTGTTCTGGATTAGATCACACTTAAAGACATTTTCATCCATTTTTGTCTTCTCCTTCTTGCTTGCAATGTGATAATATCTATGCTCTTGCAATTTGTTCAAATCCGGTGTTTCATTCCAAGATTAAACATTTAGACACTGACTATCATTTTATTAGGGAGAAAGTTCAAAAATGTGATATAAAAATTCAGTACATTTCAACAGATGAACAAGTTGCTAATGTGTTTACTAAAGAATTGCACAGTCCTGTGTTTGTCAAGCATTGTCATGCTCTTGATTTGGGATCCGGTTCTCAGTCTTCATCATCAAAAGTTGACATTGTTTCTCCGGCTATTGCTCCAGCTTTATGAAGCTTCCGAGGAGCAGTTTTCCATGGTTTCTCTGTGCATGACTGCAAACTCCGCAGTTAAATTCCCAGCTTCATTTGAGGGAGGAGTAATAGCTATATACACATGTCACAATTGTATTAGTTTAGTTGGTTAAAAGTTGCTAAGGATAGTTATGTAATAAGTCAATGTAAGGATCCTAATATAAACCCTTGTACAACTCATAAAATCTTATCTTGCAATAACAAATCTTTCACATTACTTTCTCTCTAAGTTTTCCCCCTCTCTCTTTCTTCTTCCTTGTTCTTCACCGGCATATCTTGAGACTTATCATCCACCGGCATATCTTGAGACTTATCATCCATAACCATGGGTTCCAATGTACGAGATCTTGTGTCACTTACCAATGAGGCCCTATTGATACGATTTCTATCGCCTCTAAGGAAGATACTAATCGTAGAGAAAACGGAATTTCGGAATTTCCACATTGACTGCAAATCCCTCCGACATCATTTGAGAATACAAATCTCTATCGACTCAAAACTCAATTTTTTTTACCCAAGATTTAAGCTTTGGTCTTGATGAAGCGCAAACTCGAGCATGAAAACCCAAACATTAGGCTGGGCCGCTTTGATTCCCACCAATTCACCTCACCCTAACATTTAACCAACCAACTAACGCCATCTCTTGAATAAAAGCAGGAGGGTGTCAAAAAAATCCACATCCACTATGATTTCTGATTGATGAGCAAATAAAGTAGATTGATGAAACTTCAAGTCGTAATTCTTTTAGATTAATTTCGACTAGACCATCGTTAGAACAAAATAAAAAGCAAAGAAATAAGTTAGAAAACGGGGGATATTAATTACATGATGAGATTGGGCTACATAAACAAGTACATGTACGTACTTTGATTAAAACACACAGAGCCTAAGCTAACTAGCCAGTGCCGGTGACACCGAGGTCGTCTTTCTTTGGATCTTTACCGGCACCAAAGACAGGGCCACCTTTGCCGGCAGCGTCTTCAACCTTGTCCTGTAGTTTGTGAATCTGAACGCCACCTTGGTCCTGCTTGGATCGCAGCTCAGTCCTGCTCTTGTTCTCTCCTCCTTGAACCGACTCGTACGTTGTCGCCGTCTGTGACCCCGGCGGCTGAGCTCCCTGTGCTCCTGACATAACTATGACAAAGATGTCGATTTCTGTATATCTGCTTAGCTCTGAGCCTCTGATGATTGACTGATTTGAGTAAATATTGAAGAAGATGATTTAATCTTCATATAGTGTGTGAGACTGGTGGAGGATCAAGTCTTACTGATTCAGCTGATGAAGCCTGAATGAGTTGTTTGTACGACACCTGTGAGCCTGCGTGGCGACCATGCATGCCTTTCTGCCGGTGAGCCTGTACGTGTCTCATGCACGCTGCTGCCATGCATTTCATAAGGATAACACGGAAGACTTGTTATCAAAGCATGCATGCTTATCAAACGTGGATAATTACGGGTCTATATCTCCTGTCTGGTAGAATTTTACGTAGCGAAACATCAAATATTTACGGACATGATGTTGGCGCGAGTCGTCTGTTTTACCTTTTACCTCGGTCTATTGGTGCAACTTTATGTTGGCGTGAGTTGTGTAACGTTTTGCACAAATGTATTGGACTTAGGGTTAATGATGCTGAGACTTTGTGTAATAAAATTCAACACAAGGTGAAGTAATATACAAGTTTAGTAACATTACCAATGTCATTAGTAGTAACTGTCTCAAGAAGTGATATACAAGTTTGGTGACATTATCAATATCATTAGTAGCAGCTGTCTTGTCTTTTTTAAAATCTCAACACATTCCAAGGAAAATAGAAAATACTTTGGCTCTTTAGAAATCAAAGTTTGACAAGTGGTGTTTTTTCCGAAACGCACTGTATTTGTTTCTTTTAAAATGTATTTAAAATGTTTTTTCAAGATTCATTTGTATTTATAATAAGAATTAATTTCAAAAATACTTTTATAAAAAACACTCTCAGTTATTTTTAATTCCAAACACAGAGAAAAAATTTGCTCAATTAATACTTACCTCCCCAAAAAAAAAAACCTCGATTAGTCTTATTCCTTTTTCGTTTAAAAAATAAAAATTTACACGTATCAACTCAATTAATACTTCCTTTTTTTCTCAAAAGAGGAAAAAAAATAAATTATTTAGCAAACAATGCTCTATGTAACAATACACAGTACAGAAATAATGTGAGAAACCGAGGCATCACATTATCGCATACACCGCCAATCCTACCAAGAAACCCAACAAAGCGCCGGCCGCGACTTCTACTTCAGTATGGCCGATCGATTCTTTTAGCCGAGTTGAAGTATTGGCAGCTCTTTCTAAACCTTCCTCGGCATTACTTCCTAAGCCCGAAGAAACCTGCGTCTGAGTAGCTTGCATTGTTATCTCCTTGGACTGAGACGCTAAAGGGCCATTTGTTGCTTTTGGTGAGAGAATGTTTGCTTCCTCAGACAACAGAGACTCAACGCTTTCCGACTTCAACAATGGTTTTTGAGGTTGAGAGTTAATTCTACCTCTGTCCTGGGTGGGGACTGAGTTCACCGTTGTGTTCAGGGGCAGCATTTTGTTGAGTACTTTTGCATGATTGCCAACTTCTCTTCGCACCCCCTGCAAAAGTAAGGATTTGCCTTTAGTTTTGATCATGATGTTGAAAAAATGCACGTAGACGAACTCATGTGGCGGGAAGAAGTCAATGCAGAAAAAAAAACTACTGTCATTTGTCATTTTCCAATCCACCGTAGATGAAGAATTGCAATACGTTCACTAATCTCACAAAGAGAGGCATCCATCTGTGTTTTTCTCCCTTGCGTATTGACCAAGATGGAACTTAAAGATATCATGCAGCCCCTATAAGTTGAATGCACAAATCTATCACTAGCCAACCTCACACTGATATTTCCGAACTAATTATGTGCAATACATTACAGCGCCTTGCAATCTGATTCATAGGTAAACTATCAGAATGCTTCTCAATGCAGCAGTGCGGTAGTTTTTTGCAATATATCAACCAGAAAAATCGGATGCAGTCAGCAAGGTAAACCAGTAATGCGCTGCACCACATTCTTCTTTAATAAAACCTCATGAAGCAAGTTTCCACACCCAAAAAAAAAAAAAAAAAAAAAAAAAAAAAAAAAAAAAAAAAACACCTCATGAAGCAAAAGTAACTGGTACTTTTAAACCACCAATCATGACAAGCGAACAATCCCAATTTAAATTTACATTATTCAAAATGTACCAATTAACTTTCGAAACTAATAGGATTAAGGAAGGAACAATGAGAGAAGACATGGATCAGTGGTGTAAAACTTTAATGAATATTTATATACCTGAGCATCATACATCACAATGCCTGCATAAACAACAGTAAGGCCAAATATTGAATCCGAAAGGCCCCTGGAACGAAACAATACAGTTACGAGTAAGATATCCCACAAAGATGTTTGCTTATATACATCAAATTGAGGCCCAAGAAGACGAGCCATGCATACCTTTCGAGGCCAAGGGTTGTTGCAGTAGCCACCATTGCCTATCCAAAAATGGTAACAAAAATCGAGTTCATCAGCGTCAGCTAATCAGTATCCAAAACTCATCTGAGTAAAATGAATCAAGGGCCTGTTTGAAAGTGCTTTTTGTGCCAATAGCGCTTCTAACAACGTTTGACGGTTAAAAATAACTTAAATTCTTAGTAAACATTTATACGTTCTTCCAGCAAAAGTGCTTTCTAGATAAGCACTTCGAAACCGACCCTAACTTAATTACATCGTTTACTGATTGAACATTGAGCAAAACAGTAGTAAAAGTACAGTAAAAGGGGGCTTACAGAGGAATGGGAAGAAGGGAATCCCCCAGCCTGAACGACCGCCTTGAAATCAAACTCTTTCCCATACAAAATCACAGAAGTCACCGGCTTCGTGAGCTGCCCAACTGCCATTGAAACTCCAGCCGCAATCAAAACCTTCCCAAACCAAAACAAACACAAAGTCCAAAACTTTATCTCAGTAACTAACTCCACCACCAAAAAAATCCCCAAAAAAATGCAAAAATTCAGTAATTCCAAGCAGAAGATGGTAAAAAGCAAGAAAATTTAGAGATGCCCGGAATCGAATTCCACCTTGTTATGCGCGAGCTGATCGATTCCGTCCAGCAACTGAGCTCTGAGGCAAAAGGGTGCTGCTGAACGGCGTCGTTTATAAATGGCTTTGTGCTGGGTTTCCGAGTGGGAAAAAGCCAGAGAATTGTGAAGCGCGGTGGAGCTCGAAACGCTCCAAGGCTGCAGCAGCAACATTGTCTCCGACTTTCTCGGCGTCTCTCTACCTCTCCGTCCCCCTGTCCACGTGAATAACTTAAAAAAAAAAAAAAAAAAAAAAAGAAAACCTCGAACGATGTTTGCATCTTTGTATATATCTCCTTTTATTTTTATTTATTAAATAAAAGTTTGACGAAATACTTTATGTACTGTTTAATTTTAAAGAAAAATTACATTTTTACTTTTATTTTATATTATTTATTACACATTTATTTGTCATTTTTCATTAAAATTAAAGTTTTTTTTTGGACATTTTGTTATTTTCTTTTTAATTTTTTAATAAAGAGCTATTCATTAAATAAAAAATCCATAAATACAACCGTATTCAGAACTATCTAATAAAAGTACAGAAGAAGCAAAACTAGGGGTACAAAGTAGTATTAAGTAACTTTTTCATCCCTACTTACTAAGTCTTTGTACGTATTAAGTAACTTTTTTATCTCTACTTACGAAGTTTTTTTTATTTTGAACAATGCATACTAAGTTTTTTTACAGGTATTTTTATCATACTTTATATTCTATTTATATTGCCTTTGGCAACCATGAATATTTGTAATGTTCGTCTAAATTTTTCACAATTAAATTGAATAAATTAAAAAAATTAATTAGAATATATAAAATATAAATACATGTGTGAATATCAATTTTTGTATTTTATCTCAAATAAATGAATATTGACCTGAAAAAAATAAATACCCCAAATACTAAATCTTTTTTTTTCTCAAATAAAACCCTAAATACTCATCTTCTTCTTTTTTTTATTTTTTTATTTTTTTATTTTTTTTTTCTGGAAGTAAAACCCTAAATCCTTGTTTTTTTTATTTATAATTCTTCTGAATTTTCCCTTTGGTCTAAATGATTAAATCCTTAAAACCCTAACAAATCTCCTGATACAGCAAAATACTCCCAATTGGTGCAATAGATTTCAAAAACCCACATCTTCTAAGCCTCTCATCCCACTCAGCCTCCACATTTTTCAAAGCCTCCAACCCCGTCTCCTCCATTTCGAAAAGCTCCATGCATAAGCTGCAATTGGCTCCCTTGCAGAATCAAAATGTTGAACTGAAACTCCTCCCTGATTGGTTTTCAAAGTTCAAATTTTCTCATCGATCCGAAACGGATTGAGGGTTTTACAGCGAATAATCCCGACTAGATTGCAAAGCGCAAAACCCAGAAACGAAAAGCTTGAGAATTTACTTGCAGAGATTAAAACACAATGAGAGATGAATCTCTTACCTCCTATACTTCGACCCATCTGCTACTTCACTCTCAAGCCCCCGTGGCGGCGCCATTTTAGCACCTGCTCGGAGGCCTCCGTCACTGCTAATGAGCTCTTCACAATCCTTGAAACAGCCAACGGTATTGAGGACGCCCTGGAACCCTTGGCCCCCAAGCTCTCCAGTGACGTAGTGAGATCTGTGATTCGAGAACGGGTGAACCCACAACTGGCTTTTCGTTTCTTCATCTGGGCAACCAATAGAATGAAGCTTTGCAGCCGAATGTCTCAGAATTCGGTGATTGACATGCTTGTCAGGGACGATGCCTTTGAACTCTATTGGAGAACGCTGGAGCAGATACGAGAATACGGGTTTCCGATTGGTTCTGATGCCTTTGCTGTGCTGATCAATGGCTATGACAAACTGGACAGGGTCGAAAAGGCTGTGGAGACGTTCGCCCGGATGAAAGATTTCGATTGTAAGCCTAATGTCTCTACTTACAATTCGATACTGCATGTTTTGGTGCGAAAAGAAGTGTTTTTGTTAGCTTTAGCTGTATATAACCAGATGTTGAAGTCGAATAATAGGCCTACTAGAAATACATATGCAATTTTGATTGATGGGTTTTGCAAGACAATGCAAACCCAGGACGCGCTCCGAATGTTTGACGAAATGACCCAGAGAGGCATGGCACCCAATACCGTAACTTATACTATTGTTGTTTCTGGCTTGTGCCAGGCAAAGAGGACCGATGAGGCTCATAGGTTGGTTAATATGATGAAGGGAAGTGGGTGCTCTCCAGATTTGATTACTTACCATGCTTTACTTGATGGTTATTGTAAGACAGGTAGAATTGGTGATGCTTATGCACTCCTCAGGTCATTTGAGAGGGATGGTTATGTTCTTGGACTCAATGGATATACTTGTTTGATTCAAGGTTTATTTAAAGCTAGGAGATTTGATGAAGCACATGGGTGGTATAGAAAAATGATCAAGGAGGGCATTGAGCTTGATAACGTCTTGTGTACCATAATAATTCAGGGATTATCAGATGCTGGCAGAGTTAATGATGCTTTGAGTTTCTTGAGTGAGATGAGCGAGAAAGGTTTGGTTCCAGATGCCTACTGTTATAATGCTGTCATTAAGGGGTTCTGTGATTTGGGTCTTTTGGACGAAGCTCGGTCTCTCCATCTTGAGGTCTCAAAGCAAGATTGCTTCCCTAATGCCTGCACATACACCATTCTCATTTGTGGTATGTGCAAGAACGGGCTGGTAGGGGAGGCGCAACAAATATTCAATGAGATGGAGAAGCTTGGATGTGTTCCTACTGTTGCAACCTTCAATGCTCTTATTGATGGACTTTGTAAGGCTTCTCTGCTTGACGAAGCACACTTACTATTCTACAAGATGGAGATAGGACGAAACCCTTCATTATTTCTTCGTCTTTCTCAAGGAGTTGATCGGGTTACCGATAGTACCAGTCTTCAAACAAAAGTTGAGCAATTGTGTGAGTCAGGATTGATTCTTCAGGCCTACAAACTTCTAATGAAGCTAGCTAATAGTGGGGTTACGCCTGACATCATCACTTACAACATTCTAATCAATGGGTTTTGCAAGGATGGTAACATAAATGGTGCTTTTAAGCTCTTCAAGGATATGCAACTGAAAGGGCTCTCCCCAGATTCTGTTACATATGGAACGCTTATAGATGGACTTCAAAGGGTTGACAGAGAAGAGGATGCCTTCGTGGTCTTTGACCAAATGGTGAAGAATGGGTGCATGCCTAGCTCTGCAGTTTACAAAGCACTGATGACTTGGTCTTGCAGAAAACAGAAGGTTTCTTTGGCTTTTAGTCTTTGGTTGAAGTATCTGAGAAACCTTCCTAGCAGAGAAGAGGAAGAAATTAAAGAAATAGAGGAGAACTTTAAGGAAGGAAAAATTGAGAAGGCAATCAGAGGCTTGCTTGAAATGGATATAAAGTTCAAAGAGTTTAATTTAGCACCATGCACCATTTTGCTTATTGGTATGTGTCAGGTGAGAAGAGTACATGAAGCTTTGAGAATATTTTCTGTTCTTGATGAGTACAAAGTCACTGTCACTCCACCAAGTTGTGTGCACTTGATCAGTGGTCTCTGCAAAGAAGGGAATTTGGACCTGGCAATAGGTGTTTTCATTTATACTCTGGAGAAGGGTTTTATGTTAATGCCAGAAATATGCAACACGCTGCTCAAATGTCTTCTTCGTTCCCAAGACAAAAAGGATCATGCCCTTGACCTCGTTAGCAGGATGAGATCTTTAGGATATGATCTCGATTCTTATCTTCAGCAAACTACAAAATTTCTTCTACAATGTCACGGGAACTAAAAAGAAATGGAAACTGTCTCTCGGATAATTTTTGCTGATGTCTAGCACTGAGGAGCTACTTTGGTCCTGAGCCTGCAATTGCTTATGGGTTTGATTTTTACTGACAAGGTAACATCTCTTTTCTCCTTTTCACTCAATTTTAATTTGTCTGTCCGGTCTTTGTTTTACATGTTGTGGTGTTGTTTCTTTGTTATGATAATGATTAGCATTGGTTTTGCAAGCTGGCAATGTAGTATTTGTTCTATATGTATAAGAACTTCTAGCGTTGACAGTTTTCTACTTATCATGAAATTCTAGCGTTTATGTTTCTAGATTCTGCTAGAAGAGCTGAATTTTTAACTACATTGGACTTCTTATCCTTGTTTTTGTATTTGTTACTGGGTATATGTGAATTATTGTTGCTTATAAGGAAAACATTGGAACTGTGCCTTTTAATTTTTGGTTTCAATTAGCTTGTGGATTTGTTTCATTGTAGTTCTTATCTTCGAAGAAAAGGATAAACTACAAAATACAAATACAAAAACAAATAAGTAACCAGTAATTATCATGTTGTTGATATTTCTTCCTTTCCCTTATGTCTGCAGATGTACCACATGTATCTTTTCAAGCTTCTGGAGTTGTTCAATTGTAGCTCCCGTCTGTGGAGAAAAGGGTAAACTACAAATATAAAAACAAATAAACAAGCAGCATTTTTCGTGTTATTGATATATTCCTTTCGCTTATGTCTACAGATGTAACACCTTATGTATCGTTTCAAGTGCTATATTGAATTTATTGATCATTATTTGATGTGGCAAATAGATAATTACTTGAGAGACCGGCACAATTGTTTAATGCGTATACTTTTAAATACTTAAGCTTTCACCAAGCGCCCTATTCATGAATAAAGGCTTTTTTTTTTTTCTCTTTCTTCATGCTGTTTTAGTCTATTTAATTAACCTAAGCATACTTGTATGTATGTGTGTAGTTATGTGTTTGCAGATATGTCTGTGTTATGGGAGGACTGTGTGTTCCACTTGTTTAACCTGAGTTGTCACAATCCTGTGGACTTGGTGTGAAAGGTAGCAGGCTGAGAAGGCCTGAGCAGCCTCTCCATAAATGGGGGTAAGGCTAGCCGACATTCACCTCTCCCAGACCCTGCGTAAAGCGGGAGCCTTGTGCACTGGGCACGACCTTTAGTATATGTTGCTCTGTTTTATTTTATTCTTTTTGCAACATGGTGAGCATGATATTGTGTTGATCCCATCTATATGTTTACATAGGCATAATTGTTCTGCTTAACAAGGAAGTCAACAGAAATTTGATCGTTTTGGTTTTCCCTTCTTTCTGTCTGCTTAGACATAGTTTCTCTTTGGCATTTTTCAAGTTACTTCCCTGATATGATTGGTGATTTTTGTTTCAGCAGTCCGAAAAAGCCAAGGAAACATTTCACCTGATCATTCTATGATTTCTCAGGAACTTGTGTTATTTTTTGTTTTCCAGATAAACCAAGGAGCAAGTTTATTTGCTGATAGTCATGCCATCAACAAGAGTATTGCCGGGTTTTCAGTTTCTCATTTTTAGACTAGAATTATGCATGGTAACTTGACTTGTTCTCAGTGGTTCTCTACGATTGACTTGCCAAGTGACTTGATATATCTGGGTATGTAGTATGGAGTTTATTTAGTTCAAGTATGACTTTTCTGGAACCTATGAATTTCAATTACATCCCTCTTGTTCTGAGCTTATGGAAGCATAATTTTTTGGCAAACCATTGCTTTACATTGCATTGATTGTCAACTTATGGATATGCACTGCTTCTGGTATGGAATTTCTCATTTTTCAGTTATGTTCTCGGGTTGGACAGAATGCATTGCCTTGCTACACTAATTGTCCTAAGTGGTGCAGCAGCAGTATGTTTAGTGTGTTAAAGAGACTTGTTAAAGCATCTTTGAGTTTCTGTAACCATTGTAGGTGCAATTTAATTGTAATTAAATGGACGTATTGATGTGTAATTAAATATTCTTTTCTCATTTATTTCCATGGACAGTTTTCTACTAATTTTCTTTATATCTATTGCTTATCTCAGGTTTGCTCCTCGCTGGCATGCTTCTCTTTCGAATCTCTCTTTTTGCACCCAAGTTTCTACTTGGGGTTCTTTTATTGCCTAGGTTGGAAGGTTGATTATAAGCTGCAACTTCCCAGAGTTCAAATCGAGTTTTCCTTTGTCATGCCGTGAAAAGCATCTTTTCTCCTTAAAAGTATTTTGCCCACTACCAATTTTGACAGGATCACACAAGAGCAGCCCCTTGCTATATTGGATAAATGAATGGTGAAGAACAACAAAGCAGCAGTCACTAAGTCTTATTTCAACGGCAGCGTCATGCTAAGGAAGATGTCTTCACCCAGGAGAGTTTCCGGACAAGGATTGATTTTTTGCCACAGGGAAAATGTTGGCAAACGACAGCTATTCCAGCAATTCTAGCAAGTTATCATGGATGTGCAGGACACCAAGAAACTTGGCAGGAAGTCTGTTAGCAGTGAACTTTTGTAGATAGGAGGGTGTTAGTTTTGCCAGAAGAAGCCCAGCTGCGAACCAAGCTACAAGGGCGAGTAAGTTTTGCACTTTTTTTCGACATGCTTTGTGTGGTCAAGACTCAAGAATCATTTGTTTCGGTATCTTGGTAGAAGGTTCTGTTATTATCGTCAGATTAGAGGTTGAACAGTGGATTAATGATTTGTTGAAGGTTAATCTCAACTTTGATCTTCTATTTCTGTTGTAGGTTCCATGTTTTGTTGACAATCCTTGTAAGATTCGGTTTCATAATTCGTGAAGGCTGAAGCTCATCAAGTAAAGAAAACAGAGGAATACTGAAGCATGCTCAGGACAATTGCTTGCTGAATCGGCATGTATGTGATAAATGTATACCTAGGACAAGCCATCTTTATGAACTACTGAGAAAATGCATCGTCAGGGCAAGATTACAGTTTTCTCAATTGAATTGTAGGTAGGTCGAAGAGAGCAACTTACATGTCACATGTCAGACGGCTTTTCCCTATCTCTCCTCGTTACGTGCCACCACGTGGAGAAATTTAGCAACTTTGCACTACTTTTTGTATGCACATTGGATTACTGAATTGAATCTCATGACCCAAAACAAGCTGAGGGAATGAGTCCTGAAAGCTGACGCACCTTTTGCACTACTTTTTGTCTGTGCACTTTGCTACTCAACTGTTGAGGGTGCGGTTACCTTACATGGAGACATTTTGTGGTCCGGAACCCGGTGTTGTTTCCTACTGATGAAGAGACAAACAACACCCCATAGCCCGCCCCCTCTCACATATCCCTGTGCCGGGTTCTGCACACAAAACTCTCCACATGAGAGCTTAATGAGTGCTTAATTTGAGTTCAGCAGGTGAAATTAGATCTTTTAATTGTGGCGTTTTTTGTCGATCTTTTACCTAGTACATCATTACTGTGGCATCTTGTATTAATCATAAAATTACATATAAGTTTTTTTGACATTATATGTTTAACACGAGACGCCGGAATAATTATATATCCAGGTCATAGGAATTGCTCTCAGAAACAAGGTTCCACAAAACCAAATTTGTAAAAATCCGAATTGGAAAAAGCAGGTTAACGGGCCCCTTTGAACCGACCCGGATTATGGGGGCGGGGTTTAACCGGAAGCGGAACTGGAAGTTGGTAACTTGGTCCGTTGGCGTAGGGTTTTAGGTTTTAGCATAACAACCTTTGGCCCTGTTTGGCACACCGTATAAGGCACCGGATAGTACTAATAATACGATGTACGATGTTTGGTGGTCGTTTGGATTAAATAGGCACCGGATTAAATAATCCGGGCCCACCTTTTTTACACGGCGTTCACCCGCTTGCTTATACCGTCCATATTCACGGTATAACTTAGTCGGCCTCGTCTCGATTCCTCTCCGCTCTCTCTGGCTCTCGCTGTCGCTCTCGCTCTCGTTTCCTCTCCGCTCGCTCTCGCTTCCTCTCCGTTCGCTCTCGCTCTCGCTTCCTCTCCAGGCGCTCTCGCTTCCTCTCCAGACGCACTCTTCCACTCCAGGCGCTCTCTCTTCCTCTCCAGACGCACTCTTGCTCTCATCCCAGGTTTGTCTTCTCAAATTCTTCTTCTTCGTTTGAATCACAGTTCGTCTTTTCAGTTTTCTTCTTATGGGATTCCACCCCTCCCTCTATTTTTCCCCCTCCTATTTTTCTTGCAATTTTCTTTCAATTGATTGAAGCTAGTTATTATTCTCTCTAATTATGCAATTGATTATGTAATTTTGTGTTTTAATTAAATTTTTTTAATTTTAGGGTTTGCTATTGGGGTCGAATTTAGGATTTGTTATTGGTTGTCTCTGGCGCAGTTCTCGTTTCACTTGTTGTCTCGCAGCTACAACGCAACCATACGGACGGTAAGCCAATTTCTCTTTTCGCTATTATTTTCTCTCTAATTTTGCACCTACTGGGATCAAATTTTGGTGGGTTTTGTGAATTGGGAATCGATTTCTGATGCTTTTAGAGAAATGGGTTGTCAGTGATGTTTTGATATTTCAATAGTTGGACTTGTGTGGCTGCATGCGTTTTTTTTAATTTTTGCTGGGTTTAGCTAACTGGGTTGTGCGGTTAATCTGTTTTTTCTCCAACTTTCTTACGATTTAAGTGCTTTTAGGTGAAGTACTTCCTGTGCCTATTTGTTCTGTCTTAGTAGCTCAGAGGTATGAAATTTGATAGTATTTCGTGTTAATTTTTAATTGAACTTGAAGAATGAGGAATGCATATCTTGCTTGTGATTGGGTAGAGTGGGAGTGGGAGTGTGCTTCCTGTGCCTATTTGATTATGTGTTGAAGTATTGCTTTGTTATGATTTCCTTTTGTCTGGCATTCTGTTGGTTGGGTGTTGAAGTACTGCTTTGTTTTGATTTCGTTAGCAGTTGTGGTTTACTGAATAGAATTGTTGATTGGATGTTGAAGTATTGCTCTGTTGATTGGGTGTTGAATAGAATTGTTCTGGTTTCGTCAAGTGAAGATGTTATCCTGACTCGTTTGACTGTGTTTCTTTGCTTGTTCTTATCCTTCCTGCTACTGTTTTTTCTTGCTGTTGGTGCAATTTTTAATTAGCTGGTGTGGTTTTCTTCTGTCCGCTGAGTTTCCTAGTTATCATTTCACCAAAGTTTTCAATGAAGAGAGCTGCTAATGACAATGATCTTGCTGTGACATTTAAAGAAATGCTTTCTGAATCAGTTGATAAGTTGGGTGAAGTTTTACAAGCTGCTTTTGGGAAGGAGTGGATCCAAAACTTGAGATTGCTTTAGAATTGTCAAAGATTGTAGTTGTTTTTTGTGTATCTTTTATGTTCCTGGAAAATATTTTGAATTTGATGTATGGAATTTACTTTTTTATTTTATTTTTTTGTTATTTGAAGATTTGTGTGGTTTTCAATAGGTATAAATATGAGAAAAGTTCAACAAACAAACAAAGATTTGTCAATTTTTTTTTCCCTTGTCCTATACGGTTCAATACCAAACACAGTATAAATAATACGGTCATTAGTCCGATCCTGCACCAAACGTCCGACTAATTTAGTCAGTACTATCCGGTGGCTATTTATCCTATCCGACAGAAATAGTCAGTACAGTCCGAGCTGCCAAACGAGGCCTTTAGGAATGGTTTGGTATTAATGTGCTTTGAAAAAAAACTGTTTTTTTTGTGTTGTGAGAATAAGCATATGTGAAATAAAGCAGTAGAGTGTTTAGTAAATTTTTTGTAAAAGTGCTTTTGAAAAAAAGTGTAATAAACTTTTATGTAAAACAGATGTGAAAAAAATCGGTTTTTCAAAGCTGGGTTTTGCAGCTTCCTGGTTTTAGTTTTTTTTTCACCTAAAACTGTGAAAAAAAGTTGAAGCTGAATGTTTGCTAAACATAAAAAAGCTGTCAGCTTTTTTTTATAGCAGCTTGTTTTTTTTCAGAATCATCTCAGTACCAAACCAGGTTTAATCTGCTCACTTGAAAATTAGAAATCGTCCAAACCTCCGAGTCAGTGACTCAGTCTCCATTTTTTATTGGTGAATCGGTGACTCAGCCTCCATGAGCAAAAACAAAACTTGGAGAAGCTTCAACGGTGAATCCCAAGTAAGTTCTCTCTCTCTCTCTCTCTCTCTCTTCCCCTTTTGGTTCTTCTGCAATTGGAAATCCATGAAGGCGTCGTTGCTGCAATGAGTCTGAAAATCCTCCATGTATATGTGGCTTTCGTCCATTAGACTGGGTTTTCCCAGAAAATGCATTCACCCCACCCAAAACAATCACAACCGTTTGATCTTCGCCCATGGCGGCAGTGGCGGCGGTTCTTTCAAGTGGGCATCTTCCCAGGCGGCACTTGCCCTCTGGAACTCCAGTTCCTCCCACTCTGATGAATCATCTGATGATAATTCTGTCACTGTTTGTACCACAAACGTCGCTACCAATGGCGCCAATAGAACCCATTGCTTCTCCGAATTAGATACTTCTGGGGTTGTTAGCAAGCTCAACTGTCTAAGAAACGAACCCAATTTGGCGATTTCGTTCTTTCACCGGGTGAAGGGAGATGGCTTTCGACACAATGTCTACACGTATTCCGCGCTTATTAGAATTTTGTGCTGTTGGGGTCTGGATAGGAAGTTGGATTCTCTCTTTGTGAACCTTATTAATTGCTGTGAAGACCTTGAATTCGAGATTTCGGATTTGATGGAAGCGATTGAGGAGGGAATTGAGGTTTCCCCATCGATGATCCGAGCCTATGATGCATTGCTCAAGTCTTTTGTCAGTTTGAACATGTTCGATGAGGCTATTGATGTTTTATTCCAGACAAAAAGACGTGGGTTTGTGCCCCATATCTTTACGAGTAATTTTCTAATGAACCGCTTGGTTGAGCATAGTAAAGTGGATATGGCTGTGGCTATATACAAGCAGTTGAAGCGGATTGGTATGAACCCTAATGATTACACTTACGCAATTGTCATCAAGGGACTCTGCAAGAAAGGTAGCTTGGAAGAGGCTGTGGAAGTGTTTCAGGAGATGCAGGAAGCCGGGGTAACCCCTAGCGCCTTTGCTTACACAGCGTATATTGAAGGGCTTTGCACCAATCACAGGCCGGATTTAGGGTACCAAGTGCTCCAAGCATGCCATGGGGAAAATGTTCTTATCGATGTGTATGCTTATAACGCTGTCATTCGTGGGTTCTGCAACGAGATGAAGTTTGATGAAGCTGAAAGCATCCTTCTTGACATGGAAAAGCGAGGGCTGGTCCCTGATTCATATACCTACAGTGTGATGATCTGTGGCTACTGCAAGAGTTCCAAGTTGTTGAAAGCTTTGGCTCTTCATAATGACATGGAGTCAAAGGGTATAAAAACAAATTGTGTGATTGTTAGTTTGATTCTTCAATGCATGTGTAACATGGGCATGCCTTCTGAAGCGGTGGATCAGTTTAGAGAATATAAGAGCTTGGGAATCTATCTTGATGAGGTTTCCTACAATATCGCGGTAGATGCCTTTTGCAAGCTGGGGAAAATGGAACAAGCCTTAGAATTGCTTGAAGAGATGAAGTGTAAGCATATGGTTTTAGATATTATGCATTACACGACATTGATCAAAGGCTACTTTCTCCAAGGGCATGTTGTCGAGGCTGCAAGTTTTTTGAAGGAAATGAAGGAAAAGGGTCTGAAGCCAGACATCACTACGTACAATGTACTTGACCTTTTGGATTATATGGGGGCACATGGTTTTAAACCAGACTCTGTTACACACAACATGATAATTGAAAATTTATGTGTAGGAGGAAAAGTCAAGGAAGCTGAAGCGTTTCTATACAGTTTGGAATATAAGAATGCGGATACCTATTCTGCCATGGTCAACGGGTACTGTGAAGCCAACCATACAAAAGAGGCCTATGAACTTCTTATTAGATTAGCAAAGCAAGGAACTTTAGTTAAACAAGGGCTTGCTTTAAAGTACTCAGTAAACTTTGTATAGAAGGTGATAATGACAGAGCTATTTTGTTGCTTGAGGCAATGTTGGCGTTAAATGTGGATCCTAAAAGAATTATGTACAACAAAGTCATAGCTTCTCTCTGCCAGGCTGGAGAGGTGAAAAAGGCCCGTTGGGTTTTTAATTCTTTGGTTGAGAGAGGGTTAACTCCTGATGTCATTACCTACACAATGATGATGAATAGCTACTGCAAGGTGAATTGTTTGCAAGAAGCCCATGATCTCTTCCATGATATGAAAATGAGAGGGATTCAACCTGATGTCATCACTTACACAGTTTTGCTCGAAGGTTTTCCCAAACAAAATGTAAGAAGGGTTAATTCCTCTCGAGATGCAAGTGGAGATAAGGATGAAACTTTTGATGCATGTACTGTTTGGACTGAGATGAAGGAAATGGAAATAAGACCCGATGTAATTAGTTATACTGTTTTGATAGACAGGCAGTGTAAAACAGACAACTTTCAGGATGCTATTGCACTTTTTGATGAAATGATGAACAGAGGACTAGAGCCTGATATAGTGACATACACAGCTCTTCTGGCTGGCTGTTGTAGGAGGGGAGATGTGGATAGGGCTGTAACACTCGCTAATGAGATGTCCTCTAAGGGAATGCTGCCAAATGCCCGTATACTCTGAATTCTACAACGTGGAATCCTAAAAGCCACGAAAGTGCAGTATCGGAAGTAGGAACTTTTGTTGATTATCTGTGCCTGGATAGACCCATGATCTGTGAATCAATGAAGCCCCAACGGCATAGCATGGTAAGTTTTCTATTAAATAATGTGGATAATTTGTATTGATATGCATAATGCACAGCTTTTTGTTGTTCTATTTTGATGGATGGCAATTATTCTGCAGCTGGAGTGGTGTCCTGGAAAAACGATATGGCTTGCCCAAAATGACTTGGCGGTCACGGCAACAAGGATATGTATACATTTAGCCCTCCGCAGATCCCACAGCGGCAACCAAGAAGAAAACTTTGTTTGTAGGCGACCTGGAAGTCGATTATGCCTAGGTAACACTATAGCTTTGCATATGATTAATTTACAGCATATAAGATACTTGTACTTTAACTGTCATATTTGTTTCTATTATTCGTGTCACCCTTCCAACTTTTGATATTGCATACTGAACAGCTTTGTTGTTTCATTATGATGGGTGATATGCGGTGCTCGAAGTGACTTAAGTCGTGGAAATAGGGATATGCATACATCTAGGCATCCCAGGCCCCATTGGTAGGAGCCCTGTGCACTCGAAGTCAGCTAGAGGAGAAGAAAGCTTTGTTGGTCAGTCAGCTGGAGGTCAACCTTGTGTATAGGTATAATACATATTTGCGTATGATCAAACTACATCGTTTGAGAGTTGCAAAGTAGTCATATATACATGTCTAGTTTCATACATAAATATTGCATATTTGTTTCTATAATGTCTTCGGTATCAACACAAGAGAATCTTTCCTGTCATTATATATGCTAGCTTGTCTTCTGCCTTCATCTTATCCATCAAAAGCACTTGATTGCATGACTACAATTCTGCTTTCCCCTTTTTCATTTTAAATATTTAGAAGGGGAACGCGAGAGTTGAACACTAGTCATGAGTGTGGCGGTAAGTGCTCTACCGCCAGAACCATTTTAACAAAGTTCAGTAAACCTCTTTATGGGCTTGAAGTTATTTCCGTCCTGTTCTCTCAGCATATACTCACTATATAATGAATCATAGATATTTTCTGTGATCCTTATCGGGATTTGCCTTTTGTTTTATGTCCATTGCAATGCCTAACTCACTGTTTCTGGTCTCTTTATCTATTTTTTAAAACGTCAAGAAAGAATAATCCCCCACTTATTGGGAGAAGGCTTTGTTATTGTTGTTGTCAAGAAAGAATAATCGAAATAAATCTGAGCTTTGAGGTATACTTGTTTGCAGGTCAGTTTCTGCATAAGCTATACGCAAGTCATGGGATACATTAAGTGCCGAAACAGTGGAGAGAGTGGCTACTGTGACTGAAAAATCATGACCTGAAAGAAGTTGAGGAATCTTTATTTGCCTTTTGTTTTATATACCACGAGTGAGTAGGGGTGCAAATTTTAGCTTCCAATTAACGAAAAGATTCTGAGACCAAACATGACACTTTATAGTACAGAAACAATACACACAATTGAAACTAGATGAAAAACAACTTTTGAGTCCCACATCGGGTAATTATTTACAAGGAAGCGCACTAAATTTAGGTATTGCCGAACCTAGTAGCGTAGGCTTGTAACTAAGCAGGCATTAAAGCGATTGATGAATAATGGAGCTTAGGTTAAGTGAATCATGGTGATTGAAATCTATTCACTACTATACGGTGTTGTGAGGTCACTTTAAGCACGTCTTAAGTTACTCGGGTTAGGAGGACACTCCACCCACAATGAGGGGTAGCAAACAAATAAACACGCATTTGGAATCAACTGGAATTCCCATGGGCTTTCGCAGACGAAAAATACCTAGCCTCGGCGTGCTGCTTGGCCGAACTCCTCACCCTACAGCCCCTTTTTTAGAGAGAAGAGGTAAAAATCGGAGGAAGGAGCAATCTTCTTCAATCAAGTGTGACATGATCATTGTAACTGCAAACCGTACAAATTCTCAAGGAAAATTGATTTCCCAATACAACTATAAAATTTATCAAGAGTCCCACCCACATCGGAGAAAAACTTATTTGCGCAAGTGTTGATTTGTAAAGAGAGATTTCAAAGCTTTACCAACGAGTATGCTCCACCTATTTATTTTGAAGCTAATGCCGAGATTACAACTTTGCTCTGCTAGACAATCTAACTCTCAACTCATCAGCCACGGCGTCTATAAATTCTTCGGTATTCAGATACTGAGACCTAGTGACCCTGCACAAAACATGAAACTTTTTATCATACAGGAGCAGAAAACGCAGTTGAAAGTAACCAACAAAATACGACTCTTGACAGCACTTACTTAGGCCCATGGATGAGGAGTGCAAGATCCTTGGTCATCTTCCCAGATTCGACAGTTCCTACGCAAGATGCTTCAAGTTTCTCTGTAAAATCCAAGAGTCTGGCATTGCCATCTAACTTTGCCCTGATACGATAACACAGGTTTATTCAAACTCTTTATCTCATATTTCAAACAATTTCTGAACAGACACAAAATCCAAATACTTTCAACCACCGGACCATGCTGGCTAATACCTGTGTGCAAGACCTCGTGACCATGCAAAGATCGAAGCTATGCTGTTTGTGCTTGTTTCGCCTCCCTTCTGGTGGACCCGGTAATGGCGGGTTACTGTACCATGGGCTGCTTCAGCTTCAATGGTCTTTCCATCTGGGCACACCTGGAACCAAATCCAAGTTTTCATACATCCAAAGTCATAAACGTACCCCCACAAGCAGAACGGAAATACAAGACAGAAACGAATACCAGTATAGATGTCATCAGCCCCAGAGATCCAAAACCTGTATCGAAGTTTATTGAAAGGTAACAAAACATTAGCAAACACATTTGCCGGAACCATCAACGAAATAGTACATTTCCATTTGCTTCCAACAAAAGCAGCACCAAACGTTAAAATGGACAAATAGTTGAATACTAACTCACAGGCTTTAACAAAAGTAAATACAGACCTTGGGCCAAGAAGTCACTTTGCACATCCCCATCATAGTTTTTGCATGCCCAAACATAACCTCCCTCACTTTTGAGAGCATAGGCAACCATATCGTCAATAAGACGGTGTTCATACCTTCAAATCAGAGTATTAATTAGTTGAAAATCACCGAAGCTACGCAAACTAATCTGTGTGCTTGACAAGGTATCTCACCAAATCCCTGCAGCCTCATATCTTGATCTCCAATGAGCTTCATAAACTTCCTGGAAGATGTCCTTGAATCTTCATCAAATTCAAGAGTAAGAAAATGGCAATAAATATCCAATAGTGAAACGTTACATCTAGACATACCAACCGATAATGTAACATGGGTAATTATGAGCACAGAGCGTCCCATACCTTTCTCTGTCTCTCACTCTTTTGCATGAGCACGCACAGATACACTCACGCTCTAAGGTTTATGAGGGAATTTAATGGTTTAATTTTTTCCCCAATAACGAATACTTAGAAAAGAAAAGAAAAGATTAAACGGACAAAGATGAAAGGCAAAAGAATAACAGCAAACCTTCCATCATATTTCTTCAGAATAGTATTTTTAGTGCTAAGATAAAGTGGCCACTTTTTCTGGTAGGCAGTGTTCATGGAAGCCTCAGCAAAAGCTCGGATAGACTGCTCTCACATTTAAACATAATAAAAATAGCTGTTAGCAGCTCATTTACATTGGTAACAATGTTACCAGAATTTTTAATATTTTGCTCAAACGAAATTTGAACCTCATCTGTGTTATACATGGACAAAGCTATGCCTCCTGCGCCAGTAAATTTGTAAACCTCCCACTCTGTCTTCTCATTGGACCCATCAGGTACTGCAAAGCAATAGATAAGGTAAAAATGTACCTTTATGATGTGTGTGTGCAGATAAGCAATTTACACAAGCGCACTAGATTTCAACTTCTCTACAAGCAATTTACCAAAAACCATTTTAAGTTTTCCAGGTCCTTCTATGATTGCATCAGTTGCTCGGTACTGATCACCAAAAGCATGTCTCCCGATACATATTGGCATTGTCCAACCTGAAATGAACACTAACTTATAGCTCTTTTGATGTTGATACGAGGACAAATTTAGATGACATAATAATAGCCAACCTGGAACAAGACGGGGAACATTTCTGCAGATAATAGGTTCTCTAAAAACAGTACCTGCAGAACACGGAAATGCATTGGCTGCTTACAATCGATCAAACACAGAATATACAATGGTAAATACTAAATATCGAGGGATTATTCAACTGACCATTTAAAATGTTCCGTATTGTCCCGTTTGGACTCCTCCACATCTGTTTCAAGTTGAACTCCTTCACACGAGTTTCATCTATTATATCCAAATAAATGATTCAGATCATCACAATAGTACATTATCCAAATTATGTCCATCAAAAAAGCCAAGTAGTCCATCTATATACCAGGAGTTATGGTTGCACACTTTATTGCAACATTGTACCTACAATGACAAGAACAGAAACGGTAAATTACAAAAAGAAAGTAAAGAAGCATCAATATGTGATAAAGTTGTCTTCATGAAAAAGAAATAGGTTTAACAAATATGATAATGGTACCAACAGAATACGGAAAATCATGCCTAGTACGAACCATTTGAATCGTCATTCCATTCAAATTATGACAAAAACTAGATTGTGTGAGCCCATTTAAACATGTCAAACTCGTTCCAGTAATATTTAAAAATAGTAATAAAGATAAAATGAAGATAAAAGTAGTAATGTTCTTCAAGGGTACTCCAGTATAGCAAAAGAGCAGTAAAGGAAGAATAATTGGACATACTTAAGAGTAGCTTCTGCACTTTCAATTGTGACTCTATCACTGGTGGCATCACGATTAAGGATCCCGAGATCAAAGTACTTGATATCCAACTCCAGAAAGGGAAAGATAAGCTGTGGAACACGAAAAACAAGTTACAGATTCATCAAGAACATGAAATCAACGGGAACGCCATGATAACAAAATTACCTTGTCTTTAATCCATTTCCAGAACACCCGAGTCATTTCATCTCCTGCATCACGGAAATTAGACATCATAACTAAACACAGCTAACAAGATGCTGAATAAATCTTTCTCGTACAGCTCCGAGCCTCCGGAAAATACTTATACGTCTCAATTCAGATGTAGCATTGCATCTATGTCCTATGATTTTAATAAGGTAGTTTGCACGCAATTCGGCTTAAATCAACAAAATAGAACATTGATCATTTAAGTCTATTTGAAAAAATCTCAGCTCAGAAACATCATAGTAGCCCTAAAAAATTCACCAAATCTTGTAATTCTACGATGATCATCTACTTTTATGGAACATATTAATTGGGTTGTCCTTCAAACCTGTATTGAAGGGCATGCTCTGATCAATGGGATCAATCCAAAAACACAACTTTACTTTGATAATTTGTATTATGCCAATCAAATCCATATTTTCCAGATTAATTCAAGCATTCAAAAAAGCAGAGAAACATGCCGTTTTTGAGCAGCTTAAACAAGAGTTCACAGCAAAACAATGGCGGAAAGTAGAAATCAGAGAATCTCATACCGTCCATTTCGACGATTGGGTTGGTCACCTTGATCTTATCGAAGGCCTCCATTTCTCCCCCGACACCAAAAGAGGTGAAAGTTTCGTGCTTTTTGCCTCGCAAGCTTTGGTCTTTGGCGAGAGAGAAATCAGAAGCAGTCAAAACTGAAAAGTGTGTAAATTTGTTGTTAGTTATGGAAATTGAAAGGTCGGTGGACGAATTGGGAATTGAGAAATGAGAGTTGAGTGATGACAAAAACGTTGTATTTCTCGATCAGATTGAAAGTGCAAGTCCGCGCCGTGTTGATAATTGCTCGGTTGGATTGTATTTACGAGGAGAAACTCTGCCATCTTTCTTCCCTGTTTGACTCAAACTAATTTCCCATTTATTCCACGTGCATTCCTTTTCGAATATTTGGATTTCTTGTCCAACTATTTTTATTATTTCATCAAAATCCACCCAAATTCATGGTTTGCATTGTTTTTGTATAACGTAATGCGAGTATTTGAACCCGAGACGTTTCTTAATATTTAGAAGAGAAATAACTAGTTGATATTTGTTTACATTTGAGTTGTGCCACAAGTAATCATACATGGTTGATCTTTTCAGCATTTATTTTTGTATCCACGATGATTGCACGTTTGTTTTAGCTTTTTTTTTTTTGAAACTTTAACGAAAAGCTCTCGTTACTGTTCATTTTAATAAAAAAAACCATATTTTTACATTAAAAAATCAAATTTTTTTCATTAGTTTTTTTTTTTTTTTTTTTTTTTTTTTTTTTTTTTTTGTACCTTATCAATGTAAAGTGTTTTTAGGATGAGACCCCAATTTCTTATGTTGTATTGGAGTTGTACATGTTTTTTTTCATTCATGTGATATAGGAGAGGAAAAATTGAGCTTGAAACCTCATGTGAATGGACGAATGCTAGAAATTTCGCCAATTAGTTTTTTTATTGAACTTCAACTTCATGGTTAGCGTTTTAGTTATAAGAGTTTGGTATTTATTAATCACACTTGAAGGCTTGAACAGGACCAAACAGCCGCCTTATAGTTTTCATCCCAACCCCTTTTCTCAAACATTCCTTGTATTCAGTCTTTTGAATATTCACTTTGGTTTTCGGCATATGCCCTTTTTTTGCAGTCCCAAAGGCCTGCTTGAGTAGGCATCTTTACCAAGTGCAAGAAGGAGATGCCTAAACAAGTCAAGGGTTAGAGACACAATATCCAGGAGGAGTTGTGTAATCAAACACGAAATTCAGAATCAATGGAACAAATATTAGTCCTACTGAATCATTTGAGAGTATGTTACACCAGACCAAATACAAATCATACAATGTAGTACATATCGACAAATCCTTAACACACAAATCTACGTATATACACACATGAAAGAATGACATGCAAAACTTCGGATGCAATTTCCATCCCTATATATGAGTTTTTATTTCCCCTTGCCTAGAAAGAAATCAATAATATTCTGTCAACAAAAGTTTTCCCTGTGAAACCCTCAACATGTAATGCTATTAGTATTTATCTCATTGGGTTGCAACGTTTTGCTCTTTGTACAGTGTAGTTTTCCTCCCGAGATGTAACATATCATCCGAAAGGAGTGCTAGAAGTACTCAAACTCTACATAAGATGAATCATTGCTACCGTTCTTCTTATCAACTCCCACGTCTGTCATCTTTTTGTCTGCAGAGTTCACCTCCTTGCTGGCATATTGTGAAAAGTCTACCGGTTCAGGAATGTGGGGAGGCATGGCACATCTCACCAGAGCCCAGTTCACTCCCTCGAAAAATGGGTGTTGCTTTATTTCTGTGGCACCCCTTTTGTATGCAATTCGCTTATGTGGTTCTTTCACCAAGAGTCCTCGTATGAGATTACGCGCCACAACGCTCACTTGTGGTGTTTCTGGGAATTTCAAAGACTGGCCTACAACGTTGAAGAGTGTGGCACGATTTCCATGACCCTTGAAGGGGGTTGTCCCATGTAAGAGCTCGTATAAGAAGATACCAAATGTCCACCAGTCCACTGCACTACCATGGCCCTCTCCACGAATAATCTCTGGGGCTAGGTATTCATGTGTTCCAACAAATGACATGGAACGCACATTTGTAGGCTCTGCCATCAGTTCAGGGAGGGAACCATTAGCAGAAAGGCCAAAATCTGATTTGGATTTCCTGTTTCTTGGTAGGTAAAATGCGTGGAAAGAAATGGGATGGCTGCATACAACCCTGCACAGCAAGGTCATCGTCTACAATGCCCCCACCACCACCACCGGCAGCACCACCATTGCTTACATGGGCAGATGAAGACTTGACTAGCGTAGGATTGACAGAACAACGGAGTGAGAGATCAAAGTCTGAGAGCATGATATGACCCTCGTCTCTTACTAGAACATTTTCTGGTTTTAAATCCCTGTACACAATTCCTAGCATGTGCAGATACTCAAGTGCTAACAAAATCTGTGATGCATAAAACCTGCCAAAAGATACAAAGTAAGAACAGCAATCTAAACGTCTAAACTTTCATCAAGCTTTAATAAAAGAATTCTATCAGTCAGCATATAACATATGCAGCTCTGCAGCTGGCAAGAACCATTCTTCCCGTGCCACTGTCCATAAACACGGCAAGGATAGAGACCTATAATCTACATTATGTATCCAACTATCAACGAAGTAACTCTTGCATCTATAAACGTAATTTCATGACATCTACATCCCTTACAATGCAAGAAAGGTACTTTAACTGTGCAACTTCAAGCAGTGAATTGAAGCGTCAAACTAGTATTTCCAAGACAAACCTCATTGATTATGCTTGTAAGGAAATTTAATAGTACGGATCATAGATCAAATATATTAAAAATTAATCGCAATCAACAATTAACTAAAAATTATGCAATCAGAAGAACTGGAAAGGTACTAACCGTGAAGCTTCCTCTGTAAAATGCTTGTTTGGTTGCTTCTGCCGAAGAGAATGTAGATTACCTCCACTACAGTACTCCATGACCAAGCAATAGAACTTATCAGTTTCAAAGTAAGAATAGAGAGTGGGCAAGAATGGGTGGTCAAGAAGTCCAAGTATCTCTCTTTCTGTCTGTGCTCGCAACAGCTTGTTTCTACTAGCAAGAGACGCCTTGTCCATGACTTTCATGGCAAAAAATGTGTTTGTTCCTCTGAGTTCAACAAGATACACACTGCCAATATCTCCATATCCTAGGCGCTTGAGAAGCCGAAAATGGCTAAGATTAAGTGGGGAACCTTTAGAGACCATGTTAATGGCATCCCACCGCACGTCGCCACCAGTATGAGGCCTGAGGGGTGCACTGGAGGAGCTCTCTAAGCTGTCAGAGCGGGAGCTAGTGCCGCTCATTTGGGTAAGTTTGGTGACAGAATTGTTACTTTTCATACCTCCTGTAGCCATTCCTGTTGAATTGGTTAGAAGTTCAGAATTTGCAGGTGCCATTGGGCTTGGAGATGGACGATTGTTGGTGATTGTCTCAGCTGTAGCCTTAGTACTGAGTTCTGTTCCTTTGGAAACTTGATCCACTTGCTGAGGTCCACCTGATGGATTATTGGTTGACCTGGCATTAGATTTACCTGTTCTATCTACGTTTTTTGGGTCGTAAACCTTATCATTCGATGAATTGGCACCACTCTTGACCTGAGATTTGATCTTGGTTCCGTATTTTGTTTCTTCTGACGAGCTATAACTCATCTGCATTAGAGCAAGAAAATATTCCAAGACATAAAAATTGCTAGATTAACACCTTTACAGAACAAAAATGCATAACCAAGAATTGATATGGAGCGCTTACCTCAGAAGAGTCAGAAAAATTGGCTGGATTTGAAGACATGAAATTGGGGTAACAATGACACAACACCCCTCAAAGGTAATTCCTGATCATATCATCACAAAAATCCATTACTTCTAGCACAAGATAATGTCGATTTAACCTGTACTCACACAAGAAGATAATCGGAGGTCTTTAGCACGCAAAAGTATACTATACTCATCAAAACATCCTCTACCAGCCAATTACAAAACCCTTTAAACTAATATCATCAGGAGAAGAAAGGAGCCCAAACTCCTCATTTTTTATCATGTTTTATATACATATATTTGTAACAATCACCATTAAAAAATAACATTCCTCTGCTACAAGCAACAATATAACATACTTATTTATAGTCAAATAACATACCCTTTGTATGCATATACAAATAAAAACAGTATGCGGCTGGCACGTATGAGACAGAGACACAAAAACCAAAGTCAACGTACAGAAAATAATACTGCATGAAATAAATCAAATTAGAACTAGTCAAATCTACACAGATAAACTAAGCAAAGAAATCAAATGCAAACGCAAAAACAAAAAAGAAACCCGTCTGCAAGAAAAGAAACCCAGCAAAATAAAAGATTGCAGAGAATGCTGGACCAACCAGAAATACAATGTAAACCCAGCTAAAATAAAAGAAACCCATCTGAAATAAAAGAAACCCAGCTGAAACAAAAGATTGCAGGGAATGCAGAACCCACCAGAAATTCAATGCGGCAATGAAAACCAACAAAGCTGCAATCTTTTCCCCTTTGAAGCAGTGATTGTTTGTTTCCCAAGCAATTGTCAAAGGAAGACGAAATCTTTCTTGAAAAGTGGGGAGAAAACGAAAGAAGGAATCATGGGTTGGAAAGGGAATGGGAATTGGTGGGAATTGAGAAGGGGAATGCGCTGGTTCTTGACTCTTGAGTGGACCACCACACAAGCCCGGAATCAGGAGGAGGAGGAGGTGTGAGGAGAAATGGGAGAGAAATTTGTGGAACAGAACCAAACTAGAATTAGGAAACCCCAATTTTCCATTTTCCATTATATAAATGTGAGAGAAATCAAAGATTTTGGGAATTTTGGGATTGTGTTTTAGTTAACTTCAGCAAAGAGAGGGAGGGAGGGAAACGGTCATGGCTATGGGGATGGATGGTTCGCCGTTTAATCCTCTGTGAAATAGTGGTCGGACTGCCTTCTGTGAGCTGGCCTCTCATACTCCAGTGGCTGGTGGACACGTCGGATACAAAATTTTCCAAGTTAATTGTGATCATCGACCAATTTTTAGTTGTGACGTGTTTTAATAGCAGTGGTGTGAAATTTTATTTTTTAAGTTATTAACTTTTTAGCATACATATCCTACCATTTGCATAATGATACGTAATGTATCATCCTGTGTATCGGTCACACTAAAAAATCTCTCGTGATCATGAGCTCTTTGTTAGATATGGGGAGCCAAAATACCTTGCATGTTTACTAATTTGCAATCGGTAAAATTAGAGGAAAAAAGGAAAGGGATCATTTCCATCAAATCTATGGAGATTCAGATCCTTAAAATTTAATCCAACAACTAAAGTTATTATAACTTTGTAAAGGAGTCCTAATTTTTAACTGTTGGATCAAATTTTAAAGTCTCGAATCCCTTGATTAGGTGAATTTTGTGGAAGAAATCCAATGATCACTTTCCAAATAAAAAAAATGATGAAAAAAATAGACCCAGAACAATTACTTTCGTAAGCAGTCTAATTCTTAATTTCTATGATATAAAGATACAATATTTTATTGTCGGAGCCACATCTTGTCAATGAGTCTAAATCATTTATTTTTGTCTCTTAATTCATGTTTGTTTGGAAAATAAGTTTATGAGACAGATATTCAGGGTTAAAATGGTAAATGAAGATCTAATAAAATTTTGAAAGAGATTATAAAAAGATATAGAGTGTTAAAAATTTTGCGCAAAACCGAACCTAATAACGTTTTAGACTTGGCGCATAATCTAAACATTTCTCTCATTGTTTTTTGGTAAATTAAGAAATAAATTAATAAAGGACTTAGCCGACGATGAAGATTAAAACTTTGGTAATTGGACGAGCACTAGGCACGCGCGGCAGAGCAGAGGCAAAAGAAGACGAGAATAGCAAAGCCATTTTTTACTGTTAGCCTCAGCCTGCTGCCGGAGATAAGAAGATGGAGGGTGTCACTGCTACAGCATCACCGGACATACCCATGCACCCAGCAATAGCACCAATCTCGTATCTGCTGGGTACATGGAAAGGACAAGGAGAAGGTGGGTTTCCCACCATCAACTCCTTCTCTTACGTCGAGCACCTCAATTTCTCTCATTCCGGCAAGGTACGTACGCCCGGCCCTCCCACTTTCTCTTTTCAGCAACTGAGTCAGCGAGTTGACTCGGTCAGCGAGTAAACAGTAAACTCGCTCTCTGATTATCTTATCTTCTTTGCTTGCCTCTGACGATCTGGTTACAATTTCATCGCAGCCCTTCATAGCTTACACTCAGAAGACATGGAAATTGAATTCTGGGGAGCCAATGCACGCTGAGAGTGGGTTTTGGAGGCCCAAACCAGATGGTTCCATTGAAGTTGTCATTTCTCAAAGCACCGGCCTTGTCGAAGTTCAGGTGACTGCTTCCTCTAACTCTATTGAATTGCCCCTCTCAAACTTTCTTTTGTTAATTTTGACCAATATGTCGCTGCCCTTTTGTTTTTTCTTCTCATTTCTTCTGTTATTTTTGAAAGGAATTGAAAATTTACATGCTTTAGCATTTACAAACAACTCCATTCAAATAAAGATCGAGTCTTTTGATGACCCAGATTCACTAATGTACATACCCATGTGGGCCATTTCCAATGCAACTTTCGGTTTCGTAGGATTGGATTGGAATGGATAACTTACTATATTCAAGGTGTATTGAAAAGAGAAGTGCTATTCACACATCTATTTTTACCTCTCTCACACACCGTTGTTAATTTTTTACTATTTATCTTCTCCAATTCATTCGCTTCGACGGCCAAACATTGAGAGGGGTGTGTGGGAAGTAAAAATGGGTGTGTGGTTAGCACTACCCTATTGAAAATAGTGGGGTTATTCTTTTTCTTTCTTCAGAGCTTCTAATTTTTGTTGTCTCTTCTGGAAATCAGGTATATTTGAGATTTCTTTAGGTATTTGCTACCAAGGAGTTGATTTGATTTGATTTGGTTTCCCCATTTGCAAAAGAAATTTACTTGATATGGAATTTACAGTTCCTAATTTTGGAATGCTTACTTTTGTAAAAAGTGAATGCAAGTTTAGCTGATAATTATGGCTTCTATCTGCATGACTCTGAAAACAATTGTATGAAATTTTTTCAACAAGTTTCATGTCTCCTACTTGGTGCTTTATTTGATCTGCTGAATTTTTTGTTCATATAATTCCTTTAGAAAGGGACGTATGATGCAGAAGAGAAAGTAATAAAGCTTCAGAGCGAGCTTGTGGGCAATGCTTCTAAGGTAATTTAAGCTGATCTTTGGATACAATAATTACCATTATTCATGTCGAAGTTCCATAGAACTGGCTCAAAAAATGCATGCTGTTTATTTTCCTGCTACAAGTAATCTTCTGTAGAAGAAATAAATTGATATATATATATATTGAGTACTACAGTTGGCAGTAAGATTGTGCTGGCAGGATATTGGTGCTGTAGAGTTTATAGGTATAACATATAAGCTATATTGGCACAGTTGAGAGCTTCTTTGACAAGTATGATGATTTTGCTGCTAGAATCATGGCCGATGAGGTGCCACAAGGATCTTGAGATATTACAAAGAGAGATGAACATTTTACAACTTTTTTTCTTTCGAACCTTTCAAGATCTGTTCAATATGAATTTGCCTGGTGCAATGTGTCGAAAATTTGCAAAATGGGTGGGGGTTTAGTATGAACAAAAGCAAAATAGAAAGTATAAGAATCGGATGAGGTCAGGGCCTTAAAATAGGGAAAGACAAAACCGAAGTATATCTACAGAATAGGTGACAGAATATCATATCTAGATTCGCTTGGAGTCCTTTCCCTTGATGTTTTTTTAGTATACTAGTTATTCTTTTGGTTTAGAGATTTATGAAATCTAGTATCTTATCCGTGGAGGCGACCACAAGTTGAAAAGAAATATGAGTTAGTTTCTAAGATGTCTGATTTTAGATATTTTGTTCTATGAATTATAAACCAATCTTGATGGTTTCAATAACAAAAATGATTTATCTGTCCTTAAAAATGAAATTTGAATAAATTATGATGCTTTTCTGTTTTGGGCATAGGTGAGAGAGATAACCCGAGTTTTTAAGTTGGTAGATGAAGAATTGTCTTATGAGGTTCAGATGGCCACAAATCTCACCAGTCTTCAACCACATCTGAAAGCCTCACTCAAAAGAATCTGATGCATTTATGTTGAAGAAAAAGTGAAGTTTAGAAATTAGCATCGGCTTAAGTGCAAAGGGCATATCAGAGTTTGAAAGAGAAAAAGCACTACAGGATACTATCTTCTGATATTTTATGGTTATGTGATTTATCCCCTGTACTGTGACTCGAATAACCCCTTGCACAAGCTTTGGGTGTATTTATCTCAATATGACAGATATTATTGAAGGCTGTAAGTTTTCGGCAAGTTACTAACTTGAGGATTACAATGACATGTATTTGCTTTCTCAGTTCTGACCTCAGGATGAATTTATTCTTCCAATTCAAACATGGTAGATGAAAGGTTTAACTTCAGTTTGTTGATCAGCCGATAAAGCTCAGTCTGCCGGTCTCTTCCACTTGCCTATCAACATTGAACTAGTGCAGAAGGAATCATGCAGCAGCTGACATGAAACCCCTCTGGTAAGACTCCAATCTTTGTAGGGATGATCCCTTCCATAGTGTGGTGACGGAAAACATGACTCGGTGTTTTCTCGGACATCCTATGTAGCAAGTTAATCTGTGGTGGTTAATAAATCCTTAATTACCAAGCAAGTCATGAAAGCATGCTTGGGAATGGCTCTACCATGCCAAACAAGGTGCCACCGTTCCTCAGGGGCCAGGGCTGCCACAACTCTGGAGCTTTGGGCTTCAAATTGGGCCAAAACCATTGCTGGATTATATCTTATAAGGGAGGTTGTGTGTACACCGAAATTTCATCTCTGGACACTCTTATTTCTCTAGACACCTAGTTTACTCTCACACTTTTTTTTTTTTTTTGGAGATTTTTTAGGAAAACTAATTAAAAGAGATTGAAAACTTTGAGTTTTAACCAAAATGACAAAAAGGTGTTGTAAGTGAAGAGTACTAGGAGTGACTTTTTAGAGTAAAAATGTCCTTAACGTTAAAAGTGAACAATACTATGAGTGTTTCATTAAAACTCATTTTTTTTTTTAGAGAAGATGATTGGTTACAATGGAAAAAATAAAATCAGAGTTTAGGGGTTGATGATTTGTCGAGAGAGAGAGAGAGAGAGAGGAGAGTGTTGCTGCTGGAGAAAGAAGGTTGATGTTCATGGGAGTCGTCGGCGATGGCGATGGCAATGGCGGCACAAGTGGTGTTGATGGTGGTTGCTTTGGGGTGATGAGTTGATTTACCAAAGTTGACAGTTTCTAAAATCAAGTGTGATATCACATGAAAACGAGCACCATCATCCAACATTATTTTTCTTTTAAATAAAATTGACCCGTGTATAACGACGAAACGTGAGGATACAAAGAACCACTCATCTCATAATTATTTGTCCCCAAACCCACTTAAATTTATAGAACATTGTTTGTCTTGTTCTCTGGAATGATTCTTTCCTCTTTATCTACTTATCATATATTGATACATATATATATCTGGCGACAAGTCTTTTCTTTCGTATTTGTATCGTATTGGCCATGAACTGCACCTTTTAACGAATCACTCTTTGACGAACCATTATGCTAACCGGTAGAGAATGTCCAATCCGAACTTGAACTGCTTGTTAACAGTTCCTTAACGGGTGATTTGAGAACTCTTTGAATCCATGACCAAAGTTACTGAAAAATGTTTTCTTACTCTTTAAAGTTGAACTAGTGACCTGCAATTTGACATGAACCGAAGCATTTCTTAACGGATTCAGTTCTATCAATCTGAACCGATACACCCAAGCTCAAAACTGTAATTTTCCAAAGATATCAATTCAGGTAAGGGTAGAAGGAGGAGGTCAAAATCTCCATCTAATAAGGCAGATTTGGTGCTACTAACTCGCAAATTCTCCCAACATCAACAAACATGCCTATGAGTCTGCTGGTAGTGCTAGTCAATTTTGCTCTTGCAATTTGCAATTTGCAAATTGTGTATCAAAACGATGACTATACAATTATTACCCACCCATTCTGCTTCCTTTTTATTCAATTCACAAGTCACAACAACTACTCTTTTGATATTGCTTGTTTGGATAATTTAAACAAAAAATAAAATAAAAATAAACCCCAAATCTTTGTTGTTTTATGTGTTGGGACATATAAGAATGTCAAATCTTTGATGATAAACAGCTAATTTTTCTCCATTGGTGGGATTCGCGTACGTATATTTGTACTATATACACATGTTTGGTAATTGGTGATTGGTATAGGCTTTGAATTCCAACAATGTATAATTTCGTTTGATTCACAAAGAAAGATATTTAAACTCGGGTGCTAAAAAGCGGATAAACTTGTATGTTCAATTAGACCAACCCACGTAAGGGGGAAGTTTTTAGTTTCTTGTAAACTAGAAAGATTGACCTTTTCCCATTGGCTTTGAATGTCGATAGCACACCAAGTTATATAATTAAATCAAAACACTAAATTTCCACAATAATCTTATTGGAAATATGAGCTGGAGAGTGCAAAATAGAGTAAGCTAATTAGACGCATAGTACTGCGATTATGCCCTGACAGTTTGACTGAAAAAGTTTTAGATCAGACAGTCTAATCACGTATCTTGTTCGACCTCTCAATAAGATGTTATTACATTGTTATTTACTTTTGATCCAATTAGCTATTAGTTTTGTGGTTTTTATTTGCTAGTTCAGATGGTCTAACAAGCATATCAACAATACCAATGGTATGTCAGTGGTCATGCATGTCACGTGAACAAATCACCTGACCTAAAATTCTCTAAAGGGCATGTTCATATGCTTGTCGAGTGGAAATACATTTTTTCATGACAATTCATCTTCTACCTTCATCTCAGACAACATTTCAAGTTGACATCTGTTTATACCATATTTAGGGCCTCGTATTTAGACCTCGTATAAATACTCGAGGGACTTAAATGTAATTATGTAATAAAGGAAGGGGCAACTATGTAATTAGGAGATGAGCTCTTATTCTATAAAAGGGTCTCCTCACCCTCACAAACCCTAAGCCTCTCCTATCTAGAGCAAAGCTCTCACACTCTCTCCCTCACAAATACTCTCAAATAAATACATATTCAGTGTGGACGTAGCCCAAACCTTGGGGTGAACCACGATACATCTTGTATTATTTACTTTCTTGCAGATTCACGGTCGGATTTACGTTGTTCCAAGACCTCTGGTTTTGTGCATCAACATTGGCGCCGTCTGTGGGAAACGATACGAAAAGTTGTGTCGGTCCTCTCTCATTTTTTTCACCTCCGCCGTGAATCTGCAAAATCACACATCCCAAATTACTCAGAAAGCAAAAGAACACAAAAATGTCAGTGGCATCTTCCTTTCCCCATACAAAAATCTCACATGCATCATCATCTTCCCCCTCACATTCATCTTCTTGTTCATCAAATCATTCTTTTATGCTGTCTTCCTCTTCAACAAAGCCTTACCATGTAAAAATTAGCATGAGGAGCTCCCAGACTGAAGGGCCTATCAGAAGACTTGATGCTCCTTCCAAGAATCGAAACGCGTGTTTGCCTTATCGATCAGCTATCAATGGGGGCGAAGAACTTCAAGTACGTAATCCTCGGCGGTGGAGTCTTAGCCGGATATGCAGCTCGGGAGTTTGCCAAACAGGGCCTTAAGCCTGGCAAACTAGCCGTCATTTCCAAAGAGGCAGTGCTCCCGCCATCTCGGGCTGACCCGCCAGAAGAACGGCCTGACTTGTGATTTTCTCTCCAAGACATTAGCGATAGCCAGATTTCCAAGTTGATGGAAGAACTTCTTTCCATGGCCTCGCCGTCCGAACCACCACACAGGAAGTTGCAGAGAAGAACATAATCCGCAATTCAATGTTGAATTAATCCAATTCTGTGATTAACTTTGCGATTCAGCATTTGCGTTCACAAATGATGTCTCTGGAGGTCTTGCTTGGACAGCATTAACCAAATTGTGACAGTGAAAAAACTTGACAGGAAGGGATTGCAAGGGAGCAGAGAGTTTTGTTCTGAAGTTATCATGTTGAGTTTGGTTCAACACGCGAACCTCGTCAATCTTATTGGTTATTGTGCCTCTTGAGATTCGTAACTGGCGAACCCTTCAATCGACTCCTCGTTCGATCAGGCCACTCTGATCTGCGAGTGCATCGCGAGGAAGGTGTTCCCGCGTGAATCGTACAAAGATTACGATTTATGTACGAAACTATACCACATCAATTCGAAACCATGTGTTTTGCAGCAACCACCAAACTCCTCTTCAAAGTCATCTGCTTCTTCCGCTTCTTCTTCCCCCTCGACCCACATGGCCATGGTAGAGCTCAAGCAGAGAATCCTCACCTCCTTCTCCAAACTCTCCAACCGAGACACGTACCAAATTGCGAGATCTGTGCTCCAAGTGATGGGTGCCGATATCCTATGTCTTCCGGTCAGGAGTTTGTTAACTCTTCCCAAGAAAGTCACAGGAAGTTTGCGCTGGCACTGTTGGAGAAAGCTAAACAGATCTGTGCTAGTCGTGGGGTAAATGCTGAGACAGTCACGGAAGTTAGAGATCCGAAAGAAGCCATATGTGATGCTGTCAAAAAACGCTGGCACTCTTGAATTAGTGATACAGGGTGGGCTTCACGTGGAGGTGACAATGAAGCTGAAGCTTTTGGTGTGATAAGATGATGATTGGCTGTAAGGTAAGGTGAGTTTATGATTGATGAAGACATGTTCCCACTTTACTAAAAACAGCGAAGGAAATCATTTCCAACTGCTCCACCCCATAATTGATGAACTGGCAAAGCAATTGGAAAAGGAATACAGAAAGGAAAAAGCCAGTACTTGTGCTTTTGTCGACCACCAAAGAAGATGTCCATCAACATGCTGAAAAAGATGAAACTTTCATCATGAAGGGAAGTGTAGTCCACCAACGAATGCTTTATTTATTTTTTAATGATGTAATTTATTTTTCTTATATTTCGGAAACATCTGTATAAACCCCATCAGAGGTAAAAAAAAATATATAAAAAAAAAAAGGCAAAGCCCAAAATAAATGGGCTAGAATGTTGTGGGGAGAGCGAAGGCCCATAAGCCTAAAATAGCACCAACCAGGTCATCAAAAGTACGCCCAGTACTCCACAATTATTCAGCAACCCGCCGCTATTACCACCAACCAGGTGATCAAAAGTACGCCCAGTACTCCACAATTATTCGGCAACCCGCCGCTATTATCGACAACCATGTGATGAAATGTACAACTCGTACTCTAATATCATTTGGCAACTAGCCATTCATGCCACCAACCAGGTGATGAAACGTACAACCCGTACTCTCCATCATGCCACCAACCAGGTGATCAAAAGTACACCCAGTACTCCAAATTATACATGAGCATTACTCATGTCATTCATACATAAACATTCATAAGCATCACTCATGACAATCATACATAAACATTCATGACCATCATTCATGTCAACATTCATGAGCATCACTCATGTTAACATCCATGAACATCACTCATGTCAATCAAACATTCATGAGCATCACTCATGTCAATCAAACGTCCATGAGCATCACTCATGTCAATCAGCTTCAAAAGCTTCATTTATAAAAGCTCTAGCTTCAAAAGCTTCATTTACAGAGCTACAGCTTTAAAAGCTTTATTTACAGAGCTCTAGCTTCAAAAGCTTCATTTACAGAGCTCTAGCTTCAAAGCTTCACTTGCAAAGCTTCACCTACAAAGCTTTAGTGCAGGGAATACAAATACCACCTCCGAACGACCGCCACTTCGGCCCATACATGGATTCAATTTGAAGTCTCTAGCCAACAGACTCTATTGACCGAAGACTTGGGGGACTACATTATGTACTATATATTGGGCCTCAACTGGGCCTTATGAAAAATACTTGGGAGACTTAGCCTATTATTTATGTATTAAGGAGCGAGCCCTTATTTCTATAAAAGGGACTCCCTCACTTTCATTAGAGAGCACCTATTATTCATGTACTGAGGAGCGAGCCTTTATTTTATAAAAGGGACTCCCTCACCATCATTAGAGAGCAACGCCGCCAGCTGAGCAACCGCCTCGCCGCGAGCATCACTCCTAACCCATCACTTATGTATTGAGGAGCGAACCCTTATTCTATAAAAGGGACTCCCTCACCACCATTAGAGAGCATCGCCGCCTACTGAGCAATCGCCTCGCCGCGAGCATCAACTCTAGCCCATCATTTATGTATTGAGGAACGAGCCCTTATTCTATAAAAGGGACTCTTTCACCATCATTAGAGAGCATCAACTCTAGCCCATCATTCATGTATTGAGGAGTGATCCCTTATTCTATAAAAGGGACTCCCTCACCTTCAAACGCTGCAAGCCGAGCCAACCAAGGCAACATAAGCCACGAGCCGAGCAGCCGAGCAGCGTGTGCTACTTCTAGTTGAGCGTCATTTCAAATTGAGCACTGCCTCATATCGAGCATCAGTTCAAGACAGTATCTAGTTACTTTGACCCACACATGGACTGAATTTCAAGTCTCCAGCCAAAGACTCTCTTGACTGAAGACTTGGGGGACTACTATTTATACCATATTTAGGGCTTCGTATTTAGACCTCGTATAAATACTCGAGGGGCTTAAATGTAATTATGTAATAAAGGAAGGGGCAAATATGTAATTAGGGGAGGAGCCCTTATTCTATAAAAGGGTCTCCTCACCCTCACAAACCCTAAGCCTCTCCAATCTAGAGCAAAGCTCTCACACTCTCTCCCTCACAAATACTCTCAGATAAATACATGTTCAGTGTGGACGTAGCTCAAACCTTGGGGTGAACCACGATACAACTTGTATTATTTACTTTCTTGCAGATTCACGGTCGGATTTACGTTGTTCCAAGACCTCCAGTTTTGTGCATCAACAACATCTATTTCTTACTTTAACGTACTTTAAACCTAGTGAGTCATCTAATTCAATCTAATTCTAGTGATGATCAACAAATGAGGCCTAAGTTGGTGCGCAATCTAGTGAGTCATCCAATTCAATCAAACTCTAAGATTCAAAATTATACCATCGTCATCTGCTATATTGCTACTTCGGGAACCTTGTAAAAATAATCATTTTTACAAGTGATTTAATCATTTTTTGTATAAGAGATTTTGGACGGAGGAATTGAAAACGGGATCTCAGCTACATACTATGAACCAGTTGTTTACAAGCCCTTTGCCTGAAACCCGGTCGAAGAAATGCATGGATTCAACCACCTTCAAAGTTCATGTCCGTTGGAAGATGAGTTATAAGACAACTGGATATAAGTTATGTTACGAGACCGTGAATCAGTTATTGAACGGTGAAATTCAACGAATTTATAAACGAGAATATTGACATTAGGCAAACTTTTACTTTCAGCCGACTGGCCACGTTGAGCAAGTGAAAATATCACTCGTCTTACTCCTATATTAGTTAAGGAGGCAGTTCTTACTTATGAACCTTCCATGTATTTGTTTTTAATTTTACGTTACAGAACGTCTTCTTCAAACTAAAACCGTGTCCATCCACCAAGTTTTCTCATAGCCATGCATCTAAAATTAGATCTTTAATCATATTTATCTTAGTCTCTGCTATATATATTTTTTTAAAATCTTTTCTGTAAAGCACAAGTTTTATGCATGAGTTGGCAGATGCCTGTCCTTCATCCATTTCAAACAAACAAATAGTTTTTAATGACTAAAATATTGCATCAAGTCTTGTACAAATGGCATCATTATATTATTAAACAAAATCATATGATAAAAATCTCATATATTAAAAGAATATTTGTTCATTTCAACCCCTGAAGTTATTGATCATGGATGACGCACACATACATTATTGTGGGAAAATTGACCAAATAGTACGTGAAGTTTTTTAGTCTTGTGCAATTACCATTTAAGTTTAAATTTTGGACCCTAAATGGTATATGTTTATGTCACGTACCATGTGGATTTAGGTGCCAAACACAAGATTTTTTTTTTCCAAGATATAGTAAGGCTAGACATTTACATATAAAGGGAATAAAAAAAATTATGTGGTAGAAAATAAAAATAAAAATAAAAAGACAGATGAAATCCAAAAAATCCAAAAAATAAAGGCCCCTCCCTTTATGGTTTCCAACCTCTCACACTTTAGATACCAAACAAAAAAGAAACCCTCCAACTCTTTCTTTTGGGCCTCTTGTTACTCCTCCTTACTTGTTAATTAACATCCAAAATTTACTAATTAGGCCTCAACTGCAAAACCAGAAATCCCAGACTGGCATTTGCTCCTCCTCCCAAAATATAAAACCTAATTTTAGCTTTCTTCCGTTTCTCCTCTCCTGTTTTTATACATTCCCATTTCTACACTTTTTTCATTTGTGAGTTTTGTTTCATTTTTCCGACGATGAAGATGGAGCAAAATTCAACCCTCTTCATCATTTTCCTCCTCTCCGTAATCCACAGCTTCGTGTTCGTTCATGCACTCCGCGGCGCGAGCCCGGAGAAAGCCTTGAAGCTCAAGCTAATCCACAGGTACTCTCCACATTATAATGGCCTGCATGGGGATGAGAAGCCTAAAAACCAGCAGGAGCTCCTCAGGTTGCTCCACCGCCACGACATTGTCCGCCATCAAATGATATCGTACAGAAGGCAACAACAACAAGAAGAAAGCCTTCTTGATGCTGAAGAGGTAATATTAAACAGCAGCCGGATCGCGGCGAGGCGGATGGCTTGGGAAAAAAGAGGCTCCATGGCAATGCCGATAAGTTCGGGTTCGGATTACGGTTGGGGGCAGTACCTGGTTAAAATTAAAATCGGAACGCCGGCACAAAAGTTCTTGTTAGTCGCGGATACCGGCAGTGACTTGACGTGGATAAACTGCAGATACCGTTGCAGAAACCGGTGCGAGAAGCACCAAGGAAGGTTGCAACACAAGAGGGTTTTCCATGCAGAACTTTCTTCTTCCTTTAAAACTGTGCCGTGTTCTTCGAAATTGTGCAAGGTTGGTCTGTGGACTATGTTTTCTCTCCAACAGTGCTCCACCCCATCGAGCCCTTGCAGATATGATTACTCGTACGTACGCTTGCTTCTCAATTTCCATTTTCCTGCTTATTGATTCTTTGTTTTTGTTTTAATTTGCTTGTGAAAATGTCAAATTGGAGAACCCAGCTGTTTCCAGTTTAGGATGAGGTCCAAAAGTTTGGTTCCAAATTGGGATAAGAGAATCTTAATAGTTATGATTTGACGCTAATTATTGTGTGGTATTAGAACATAACTAATATGCTCATGCTATAATAGCAGACTGATTATACTACGTGACTACATACCATGCATTGTATTTTTGTTAAAATTATTTTAAATTAGAAATGGAAATGGAAGAGAAAATCCAAACCAGAAGTAGTTGGAAGTGTCTTTTCTGAGGTACATACGTCCATTTCATTTTTAAAGCCGACCTAAAATTGTTCTACAACTTGTCTTTAGGGAACTTGGTTTTAGTTGTGTTAACAATATACATACTAAATATTAAAGTCGGTATAAACAGAAATTACATGGTCATGTGTTTGTCCAGGAGTTTTATAGGGTCTTTTGTTTAGCATCATCCTCTTCGTCACCCTTGTTGTTCATGGACCATTTTTGCTAAGGCTAAAGGATAATTAGGGTTTTTCTAAAAATCAGAATCAACACAGAGTTAGCTAAATTTTTTAACAAGTCTCTAATGCAATCAGATACAATTGTGGGGTACTCCAAATTCATCAGTTGCAGAAGATGTAGGCGCTGCATTTTACCTACATTCAGCAAAAAGATTTAAATGGCACTTATTGTAAGTAGTTGAGAGTCACATGATGCACATTTTTTGTACCAAACACAAAGATTTAATATCACTCGCAGGTGGTAGCTTGATCTGTATTTTGTAACGGCGTAATCTTTTAAAGAATATCTAGAGTTTAGGTTGTTGGACATCCTAAATTCAAAACTTAAGATCCAAAACCCTAAATGTAAATCTTATAACGGATGTATATGCCTCTCCACATGCTGAATGAGATTGAAAGTGTGGAAAAGTGTTAACCTAGTATACATTGTTGGTTCATACCCTAATAACAACTCAATCTACACCTATTTATGAATAACCAACAACTTAATTTGTTTTTCACAATGCTATTGTGTTAGGTACATAGAGGGGGCTCATGCATTTGGGCTGTTTGCCAATGAGACTGTAAGAGCAACCCTGGCAAGTGGCACGAGAACCAAACTGGAAAACGTGATAGTTGGTTGCACAGACCACATCAAGGGCAGTGGAGGCATTAGACATGGTGATGGTATATTGGGGTTGGGCTTTGGCAGGAACTCATTCACTACCAAGGCTTCCCTACACTTTGGTGGCAAGTTTTCTTATTGCCTGGTTGATCAGCAAAGCCCCAAACATGTCTCAAATTTTCTCACATTTGGTGGCCACAAAGCAGCTAGATTGCAGAAACAAATGAACTACACAAAGCTGGTTATCGGTGACTCCGAGGATAAGGGGTCGTTCTACGGCGTAAATGTGCAGGGAATCTCAGATGGGGGGAAAATGTTAGATATACCACCTCGTGTGTGGGACGAAAATCTTAAAGGTGGAACCATTGTTGATTCAGGCACAAGCCTCACATTTCTGAAAGTGCCGGCATATAAAGCTGTCATGAAAGTAATGACAATGGCTTTGTCGAAAGTGAAAAAATTGTCACCAGATGATGACCCTTTTGACTTTTGCTTCAGTTCCAAGGGATTCAACAGGTCTTTAGTGCCAAAATTCGCAATTCACTTTGCAGATGGAGCTATATTTGAGCCACCAGTGAAGAGCTATGTTCTTGAGGTTGCTGACGGGAAGATGTGCCTAGGGTTTGTGCCAACTAATGTTGGTCCCTCTGTTATTGGCAACATAATGCAGCAAAACCATTTGTGGGAATTTGACTTAGGGAGGAGGACACTGGGTTTTGCTCCCTCCACCTGCACCTAGGACTTGTTCAAATACTGGAATTGGATTGATTATGTTCTTGTAATAACTTTTTCTATTTCTTCCCATATATAATTGTGTATGAAATTCATTGCATTCTTATGGTGACGTCTTGTACTTGATCATAAATCATAATTGGGTTTTCACACTTGTATCCATCCAAGTGTTTCACATACGTATATGCCTTAACAATTCTACAAATTAAACTTTTGTACATCCAAGTTATTGACCGACTAATTCTTGGTGTAGTGCGTTATCTCTCTTTGTAATACTAAAAGAAAGTTCAAAGTCGAATTCTTGTTCTGTTACGAATAACTATGGGCTGGGTGAAATAAAGTTGAAACTAATGGGCGTGGGATAACATAATTTGATTTCTTGGACATATTCAATATATGTTGGAAAAATATAACTTCTAAGAGAAAAATTTCATGAACTGACAGATGCATAGGATCAATAATGTATGCAGTTGCTCTTCTCCGCATTCCACATTATTGCTAGACACGAAATAACGCAATGTTCTTTTTGAGAATGACTCTCCTGGGCGCAAGATGTCCACTCTAAAAGGCTGAAGGGGGTAAGAAGCCAAATGCAACTAAGTTTTGGTCCTATCTAATTTTACTTCTCTTGAGAAGAAAAGTTCTTGAATCCGCTTGTGCTTCTATGTTATGCTTCTATCTAATTTTACGTCTCTTTCATTTGATAAGTTTAACGATCACGAGCAAGTATGAATGATTCTATTTCCAAATCAAGTATGAATGATTGAATTAAGAGCACAAAATTATTAAGCATGAATGATTGTCTACATGGGAAAGTGAACACAGAGTAAGTGTGCCTGAATAATTGAACACATATTAGATATATCGAGTCCATTTGAAGAGCACAAAATAGTATATGGTAGCTTCCAAAATGTAAGTCCACAGGAACAGATGCTTCATGTAAATAGCTTGCATGATTAGTTTAGCAGTAGAGTGAGCTTTTTCTTCTTCTTCCTGCAAAACGTGAGAGATACCACTCCTGACGTGCACGCTTGTAATACTAGGATAAATGCCATTATTAATCACCAATCAGACTTTGTCGTTATAAAAGATTGATTGGTTGGTTGGTTGGTTAAGATTCTTCTTTGTTTGTCGTTAATAAACATGAAAATGAGTCATTGTAGGCCCCGATTAATCTATTAGTACAACATATCAATGATCATCCATAACAGTTTAAGACAAATCTATTGCGTTAAGCGACTTATACATCTTTCAGAAAGGATAATTGTCTAGATTATGCATTTCATGTTTAGAGTTTAGATCAGCTATGCGTTAAATAGATAATTTCTTGTCGTTATAATACGTGTATTTGTTTATTAATATTGTATTCTATGTCTTCTTTCATGATGTATCAACTTTGTTGCTAACTCATTATAATATATGGATATACAGTGATAACAAGTGACAACACGGTGATCTACCACACATTCGGTGATCTACCACACATTAGTATATATGTACCATCTTATATCTGAAGAACATAAAATTATGACCCATATTATGTCAATCTCTTTTTGGGAAAGAATATTTATGTTCAACTTTAGAATTGTTGTATCGTAATATTAATTTCTTGTCAATCTAGTATGTTATTGTTAGACAATATATTTAGACCGTTGTGTGTGATTCAAATAATAGTGTGCACATAAAACATATCAGATTGTTTTACTTACAATTAAGGGATATATATACTGATATGCGGTTTAGAAGAATAGTGATCAATGAGAGGGTTGGAAAGGGCATCACGTAAATTTACATGAATCAAGGTGCTTCTCCCGTTACCCTAACAACTCTCATCGCTCACTATTTTTATCATGTTGTGAATAATTTGGCCATCACTCTAATAAGAACAAGTACCAATCTATCTATCTAGCTAAGATGTAAACGTCTATCTAACGGCCATGTGCATTGAGTGATTGAGGTCAAGCTTCATTGTTTAATTCCCTTATATATTTTTTCACATTAATATATAAAATCTGCAGGAACTTTGTTGTCTTCTTCTCTGTCGTCATGCATATACATACTTGGCCTTTTGAGCAAAATCGTGAGTTGTAGATGGGAGCAGGTAATTAAGACGCTCATACAATCAGCTTAAAGTCTTGATCGAACTCCCTCCAGCAGGAGAGCGACTAACACATTGTTAGGAGTATTTAGAAACTCCATTGTTGAATTAGGGTTGGAATTTAGATCCTTTTTGTGGAAATCAAAAGGTGGGCCTTTATTTTGAAGATGAGTTTGAAATTTTTAGGGTTTAGTAGTGAGTTTAAACTTTGTAGTTTAAATTAGTTTAAAGTAAAATATTGCTAATAAATAAAACACTATTTAGCACGGTATGTAAAGTCATCTTGCAACGAACTGAGAATAGATCCATAAAAACATCCAACCTTTCCCAAAATCTTCCCTAATTTAGAATTTGGGAAATTGACATAAACAGCTCCAACCATAGTCTCCCAAATTTAGGGTTTCCCTAAAAATTTACGGGAACTCTTTCCAATTTTGACTATATGCATACAACAAACATACAATGAGATAAGTCTATTTATTGGCGTGGTATGAACAAAAATATGATGTCTCTAACATTTCATTTCCTAAAAATTAATATGAGACAACATCAGATAAAGGATTGGAGTTGCTCTAATGTTATCTCAGTTTCATGTTTTGTAACTGCACATTTCGAGCTTTGTTTGGTGTTGTTACACAAATAAAAGAATGATGAAAGATCAAGTATGTTGCGTTACCATGAAAGCATCAAATGAAGTTATGAACCATGAACTAAAACAAAGCCTAATGAAAGAATGTCTAAATGGGCTGAGCATTGGGCCCAAGTTTAATAGTTTGGTATAAAAGTGGACTATCTGGCCCGTAAAACTCTTGGGCTCAATTTTCAATTGTTCAACTTAAAAACTATTATTAGAGAAAAGTTATATAACTAAATACCACTTCTAAATCACTTAGTATTACATTCTAATGATATCATCTTCACTTGTAAGTGAGAGGTCTTAGGTTTAATTCTCACTAATATTGAAGTTGAACTGCATTATTGTTAACCCATTGTGAGGCTAAACCCACTCCTTCCTCATTAGTGTAGAGAATATTATTTGTTAAAGAAAAAAAACCGGTTCTAAATGGCTTATAAGTTATAACATTTCTTTTTTTACTGCGCATGACAAAGATCTTTTGAAAATTCAATAATTCATTTTATCATAAAAATGTTACTCATGATTTTTAATACATTTTGCAAAGTTGTACAAAAACAAGAATAAAACATATTTACTAGCATTTACACTGCACCATAAGTTTCATTACATTTTTTTTTCTTTTAATACATCGATATATTTATACTGAGTGGTGAGCAAATGGTTATTAAGCCACACAATGAGTCATCACATGATTTGGAATCGAACTTGCTGTATACAAGACTTGAACATAAGACTTCTTACTTACAAATAAAAAAAAAAAAAAAAGACCTTCAACTTATAAATGAAGAAAAATATCTTTAAACCGTAATGTTAAGCAGTAAGGATTCATAAAGCTAATGAAAAACATTTTAGAGATATTTGTAAAACCGATTAAAACCGTGAGTTGCGCTACTTTTTAATAACCCTAGCTGAGTGCAAACCAATAAAAAAAAAGTGTTATTAGTGAGTAGTGACGCGATCTTTCCCTCCTTTGTTTTCAAGGCAGATTAAATGTACCTAACAATTTGATTAGGACAATAGACCCAAAATAAATTAAATATATCCCAACTTTGCCAGGTATGCTGATGAAAATTCAAAAGAAAAATGAACACCTGGTTGTGTTGATTGGAGAGCAAGAATGCAAGTTCATTAGGCACTTCTGTGCTGTGTATGGATCAAGTTGTTTGATCAGCCCTCAGCAATAGGAAGTACCTGCATCATGAAACATACATAAGACAATTGTGAGGTCAAATTTCAAACTCATGACTCACAACAAACTGGAAGCCTCGGTGACATCGATCGGGGATTGCTTAGTTTTGTTTACAATGGACAATTTTTTGGATGTGATGAAAGTATAAAAATAATATGAGACGTAACAGTTATTGCATTTTGCAACCCTAATGGGATTGCTTAGTTTTGTTTGCGATGGACAATTTATAATCAAATCGAAATTAACACCATATTCAACGTACATTATTTAATCTTTACGCAAACAAAAGTATTTAGCACTTGGAGGCAAAGTTAGTCAACAATTGAAGGAGATCTTGGCCATGTATGGGGGTTCTTAATTAATTGGTATCACAATACTTATTTATAGACTTTTCTTTTCCTAATATTCAATTCACTAATTAGGGTCAATTGACTTGGTTTCGCTTTTGTTTTTTTCTTATTCGAGATGATAAAGTACAAAAATTTTGACACATGAGTGAATGTTTTTAATAACCATTTGAAATACAAACTTCTTACATAGCTACACCATCTAACCAAACAGGTTCTATGTTTTCCCTTAAGGTTTTTTTTTTTTTGCTTTTGTTAAACAAAAGGCCAGACTAAAAGCAAACAAAAGGGAAATTACAAGATAATGGCGCAAGATCGAGAAAGATGGAGTTTGTTCAAAATAGACCGGATCCAAAGTACAAGAGACGTTCAGGTTGACCAACTCATCAACAACAAAATTCATTTTACGATAGACATGTCGAATATTACATTCTCAATCACGTTGTAACATCACACAACAAACTTAAATCAATTCACCAAGAAGATGATTATCAGTGGCACCATGTGAAAACCCTAATTTCAAAAGTCTTACCAAATTATGTAGAAAACCCTAATTCTAAATGGTGTAAATTGCGTACAATCCAGATTCAATATTTCAAGTGTGCAATACACGTAGATTGAGTTTTATAATAAATTGTGGCTGGCCAATGTCAATGGTTTTAAATGGTTGGAAATGGATGGATGGATGGATGGGTGGGAAGGAACCCTTTCCCACTAAGAAAACTTTTACACGCCCTCTTCTTCTTGGTCCTTCTTCTAGTTCTAGATCTCTGGCTTTTTAGAAATTTCCAGGACACTACCTAAAATTGTTCTACTTCTTTTCTACCGTCTAGTTTATTTTATTTTTAGGCTGACGCTTAACCTAAATTATTGAACTATTCAAGGTCATTTTTATTTTAAAATTTTGC